GAAAATTTTCGAAATTTGAAAAAACACGAATCCAAGGAATTAAATTCCAAGCAAAGGGCTTAAAATCAAAAATTTTGGGATCTTAGCATTTCAAATTCTCGAGATTCACCCTCAAAATGGCGAAAAATGTCGAAAATTTTCGAAATTTGAAAAAACACGAATCCAAGGAATTAAATTCCAAGCAAAGGGCTTAAAATCAAAAATTTTGGGATCTTAGCGCTTCAAATTCTCGAGATTCACCCTCAAAATGGCGAAAAGTGTCAAAATTTTTGAAATTTGAAAAACGCGAAGCCAAGAGATTGAATCTCAGGGAAAGGGCTTAAAGTCAAAAGTTTTGAGATCTTAGCACTTCAAACGCACTGAATTCAATCCCAAAACGACGACAAAACGTGGAAAATTTTCGAAATTTGAAAAACGCGAATCCAAGAGACTGAACCTCAGGGAAAGGGCTGACTTAACTCACGGGACTCAACCTCAAAACGAACGACGAAAAAACGTGGAAAATTTTCGAAATTTGAAAAACGCGAAGCCAAGGCTGGCACTAAATTTCAGAGAAAGGGCATAAAGTCAAAACTTTTGGGATCTTAGCACTTCAAACTCACGGGATTCACTCCCAAAACGACGAAAAACGTGGAAAATTATCGAAATTAGAAAAACGCGAACCCAAGAGGTTGAATCTCAGGGGAAGGACTTAAAGTCAAAAATTTAGGGACTTTAGCGCTTCAAACGCACAAAATTCAATCCCAAAACGACGACAAAATGGGGAAAATTTTCGAAATTTGAAAAATGCAAAGCCAAGAAACTGAATCGCAGGGAAAGGGCTGAAAGTCAAAAAGTTTTGGGATCTTGGCACTTGACTCCAAACGCACGGGACCCAACTCCCAAACGATGGCAAAACGTGGAAAATTTTCGAAATTTGAAAACGTGTACCGCTTACATCTTTGCCATGCTTAGTTTCTTATTTTGGGAGGAGGGGGATCCTAGTGGGAGGGATGTTATCGGACGCTCCAAGCTAGTAAAAGGGTTGTCAAAAAATTTACAAGTACTGGTGTATCCTTTCCCGAAGCCTCGAATATTCGGAAAAAAGCGGATCCTCCAATTTTGCCGGCCTGAAAACGTTTGCGTTTTAGAGCCGTAATATAATAGTTATATATATATAAGTTGTTCCCCTTGATGTAATAATAAGTGAAAGTCAGCGTAGTTATCAGACATACTCATACACACATACATACATACATACATACATACATACATACATACATACATAGGTAAAGTAACTTGCAAGGAAAGTCGCAACTCGAGACTGACTCTGATAATGCCATAATTCTTCTCATCGTCACTCCCTGAAGAGGATGACGAACTATCGGATTTCTTCTTCGCTTTCTTTTCCTTTTTGTCCTTCTTCTTGGCTTTCTTCGCTTTCTTATCTGCTTTAGGAGATTGTGATCTGTTCTTCTTTCCCTTGTTTTTCAGGGCCGCTAGACCTCGACCAACTTCTTCAACGTCCTTATTTTCTTTCTTCGGCGGCGGGCTCTCTTTCTGTGAGGATTATTGGGCGGAATATATCTCATTGCATCATAGAAGAATTGATAATGTTTCCATCTTCTGAGAAGACAAAGCTCTTTTCAAATTCGAAGACATGTATTTCAGCACAATCAACATACGAGACGAAAAGTTACAAATAGAGTAGCAGCACAATCAATCCCAGGCTTTTCTTGTACTCGTAAACAAGGTCTTTTCGCTTTTTCGCCAATATTTCTTCTCGTTTCGCCTTCTCCTTCTCACGCTTGGCTATTATTGCTGGCAGTAGATGCTTAGGAAAGGTCTCAACATGATCGCCGAGCTTCTCTAACTTCTCAGGATTGAAGATGCCCCACTTACGCAACATATCTCGCGGCTGCCGTTTCACAGGGTCACCCTCCTCGTCCTCGATGTTACCTGTTTGAGTGGAGAAAGGTTTGAGTGGAGAAAATGAACGTGGACATGCGCAGTCGATGCAACCTATCTATCTATCAACGAGAAGGGCGTGAGCGGTCACAATGTTCAGAAAAAGAAAACCAAATTCAGCGGATCACAAAGCAAAATCGAGTACTAAGTCCACTGAGCTTGCTCCGTATATCTTCTGAGTTCCCTGCCTTCTTTTCCCGTTTCTTCTGCCCTGGACTGTCTTCATCACTCTTTGAAGCTTTACCACTCTTACCTCCTTGCTTGCTTCGATCTTCAGGCGAGTCGTCGTCCGCTAATAAGGCATCTAAGTCTGCACTGAGGTTTTCACTCTTTTCTTTGTCTTTGGCTTCTCTTTTCTTGTCTTTCCTGCCAGCTGGGGGTGATGAGCTTGAGGCTTTTGGGGACATTAGAAGCATGAATATGATCATCAGTATAGCATTTTGACTTATGATCGAGGATAACATTTTAAGTAGTACTTTTCTAGCACCTGATAGCGATTTAATGTTGTCATTCACTATCTATCATCCATAACCTCTGCGATTTTCCTGCCGCTACTAATGCCGCTTTCACTGGTGACCGAGGCTTACTCTTCCTGTTCATGGTGCGTCGGTCTGTCGCCTTATGTATTAGAGATCACCCTACTGACCCCTCTATCTTGAGGCACGTCCTGGGTGGTCCCTTTTGTTCCCCTTCAGAAGTCAAGCAAGCCTCCTCAGAATTTCTCAGAAGATTGGGTCCCGTTGCTCCCCTTCAGAAGTGAAGCAAGCCTCTCCAGGATGTCCATGTCTCGGAAGAAAGATGGATATGAACTATGTATAGTACTATAAGGAGCGCACATATTCACTATACTAGTACTAAGGAGCCTTAAATGTAGCATGGTTTGTAATTCGCGGCCGTACCAAGCATTGTCGAACTTTTCTTGTAAATGCTCGGTGAAAGCCTCCATGTAAGCGCCGTTAACGAAAAAGTCTTGCCTTTTCTTGTAGTTCGCGTAACTCTGAGGATTGTTGCGATTAGAGCAGGAAGAATTCAGGTTACTTACTTCGGAGATGAGGTTGTGCTCGCGCTAGTGCCTTCACAAGTACTTATCTCTTCTTCTATTTCTGTCGTGCAGGAGCACTTGCATACAGATACAACACGTGAAACTCTTTGTTCCATAATCAAATCTATCCTGGCTTTCGTTCTGGGAGTGAGCTGATGAAACGGCGTGAACTGTGCGAGAGGGTCGTTATGATGTATCAGCGGACCTACCGTAGGTCCTAGCTCCTTGTACCGCTGTTCCTCCAGCATGCCGATTCTCTGGCGTTCGCGAGGATTAGATGATGCCGGGTTGCACAGGTATAATAAAGAATAGACACTGGTGAAATTACTTCCTGATGGTGAGGTGTTTTCCAGCTGCGGGGGCCACAGTGGGCATCGTAGAACTGAAGACTGTGACTGTAAATAAACCGTTAATGGTACTATAACAGATCCATGTCTTAACACTAGGGTCCACTACTATCTTGTATCCTGGCTCTCCAGGCCTCGCGAGCGGATCCCGGACGATGCCCGAATCCATCCCAGGCTTCTGCGCTAAGCGGCCCACAGGGTCCAGTCGTGGTGGCATTGTCGGGAAACCCCACGTGTTTAGAGGAGATCTGTTCCAGAACGTGGTTCCCGAACAATGCTGATGCGGAGCAAGGTGAATGAGCGTGAAAGTGGATAAGTAAGTAGATAGAATCGACAAATGTGACATGTCATTTGTCTCCGATTTGACCTGCCAAATCCACCTTGAGGCGAGACCCTAGGAAACTAAGTCGAAACCGTTCCAAAGAGTGTATCAGAATCGACAAATAAGAACAGCTACTTAGGCAACAAAAGTTCCTGTCATAGAATTCCAGGGGTGTATCCCGCATCTTGCGTCCAGGCTACGCGCATAGCCTCCAACGCTTTCGTTCTGTAGTCCATTTCCTGCAACAGCTGTTTGATGAAGATTGCCTGCTCTTCTTTTGATATCAAGTGTACTGCACGTCGTGCTGCGCCACCTAATTCTGAATCACCATCGCCTGCCTCGCCGTCTAAACCGCCCTTGCCACCTTTTTTACCCATGCGACCACCTTTGCCCCCTTTCTTTCCTTTCTTGCCGGCGCCTTTTCCTCCTGCGCCGCCCTTGCCACCGGCGGATTTTAGAGCTAATCAACTTTAAGTAGGCAGTATTCACTAGCAGAGTTTTGACCACCTTCAGCATATCATTACATTCATAAGGAACAATTCTTAGACTGATATCAGTTCAAACATCTATAAACCCTTAGCTTTCCTCCAAAGTCTTCACCAGACACACCACGTCGTTTGTAGGCGTCTTTCGCGGCAGCACCACACACCTTCGTCAGTATTTCCATCAAGGCATCCTCCACCACTAGCATAATCTGTTCCTCCTTAGGGCATCCCTGTTCTGCTGTCGGAAGATTTACTCGGAAAGTGAGGAGCAATGAAAGAGGGAGCTTGCTTTCGTCTCCAAACAAGCCTGTGGCTTCTTTTCACTACGAAGATTCAAAAGATGAGCACTTGTTGTATTCACTAGATTCTCAACATCAATGGTTTCTATATCACAGTCTTCGATGTGGTCGCTCCACCTCCATCTCCTGAACTATCTTCTAAGTTGCCATAAAAATATCGGTCTTTACTTACAGTTCTTGCCATATCAAAAACAGATCCTTGTCTGGTGACAAAGTGATCTCTGGTCGCAGACTAGCCTCCGGACCCAAAATCGGAAAGGCTTCCAATATCCTCTGCGTGAAGAAGCGCTGCATGTCGACTAGATATTTCGTAAGTTGAGGACCGAATTGCGGTGCGATATCATAGAGGAGTCCGACACGTACCATGCCTTTGATGTTTGGACCCCGCGTCCCCTCGTCTCCCGTTGCACTGCCGTCTGTCGTTGTCTCCTCTTTTGTTTAGAAGCAGTTTCCAGTTGACCTACCTAGTACTTCGCATAACTACGACCTTCCTACATGAAAAAGTCTAAGTCATAGATACGCGCATGATACAGAGGTCAACTCCTGTTAAGCAACCCTTAATCTGTGGTCTCCTCATCTGTCATATCCGGGTTCCAATCCTTGTCCTTGACAATGATCTCAAAATCTAGTTTGAACGGCCCTTCCCACACCTCCTCGTCGTCGCTCTCCTCTTTCTGCAGCTCTGGAAGAAGCTGCAAGGTCGCACTTTTCTCGACTGCAAGCTTATATCGCTCTCGGACTTTAGGTCTAGACCTCAAGGCTTCCTCTGGATCCACTCCATCGTCTCTCATCTCGTCATCACTGTCACCGTCCAGTTCTCCCATCTCGCGACGGATCTGTATTGCAGGTTGAATCGAGCCAAACCAGATCATTCTACTTCTTGACAACTTCATAACTTCTAGGAGTAGGAACAAGGTCAACAGGAGCTCCTACGTACTAGACAGTAAAAAGCGGGAGTTGACAACTTCATCTAGGAACAAGGTCCGCAGCTCCATCTAGGAACAGGTAAAAAGCGTACCTCCCGTTCTCTGTTCTTTTCCTCTAGTCTGTTTTTCTCCGCGTCCTCAACGGCTTTCTTCTTGCGAATTTCCCGCATCTTGCGCTGCGCTTCTTGCTCTAGGATTTTCAGGTAGTTCACCTTCTTGTAGAGATCCTGCAGCTCGTTGTTGTCGGGCTCATAGACACGGTATACGACTGGATCCTCACGTCTTACTGGTCGACCAAGCATCACCGCCATCTCCAGGAATGAAAGGAAACGACCAAGGTTCTTGAGTAGTAGATATCAAGAAACTAAAAGTGGAAGAACTAGATAGATTTAGTAAACAGAAACCGTCTACGCAGGAGGTGGATACGAGCATAATAGATACGACTACTAGCTAGTCGCTAGATACACAAAACAGAAAGCGTCTACGCAGGATACGATAATACTACTACTAGCGAGTAATCCCTCGAGCTTTTTCATAAACGTTCCTCCTCCCCCGTGAGTGTTTTTTGGCCACTCGGGGACTCGCCCTTCGCCGCATCATATGTACTACTATCTAACCTGGCGTTGTTGAAGAACCGCGCTTCTTCCTTCGCCCTCCTTGCCAACGCCTGTTCATATCTCCGAAATGGTCGAGGACTAGACGGCGAGTAGTTCGGGTCAAAACCGGACGTGGACGAGCGAGCTGTGAGACTACTGCCCTGTAGGACATCCTGAGACGCTGTGCCCGCTGCCGTACTCCGGTTCGTGATTGCACCGCCATCACGGGCTGAGCCACTCAAAAATGTTGAGGATGAAGCGCCTATATCGCGTGTCGGAGAGAGGGACTTATCAATTGGTAAGTCAGGTTGTCTTCTGAGAATATCTCTTGCAGTGTACAGAGATTTCTCAATCTTCGCCTCGATGGTGGCTGCCTCCACGGCGCCCACCGTGACCAGTACATACCGCTCCCGCGGATCTTCCGACATGGTCTTGCTTCTTTCAACCTAGTTTAAGTATCTTGTGGAGTCTCCAAACTCCGTGTCTCATCTCTTCATTCCACTACTAGTGTTTGAGGAATGAATGGGAAAGAAGTGCCAGCTTGTACTAGCACGACATGAATTTCACTTTCACGTTGTTTCAAAAATGACCTTTTCAGCCGCCAGAGACTGCTGGCATACACCTCATGCGCCACATTAATGTGGTAGGCAAGGGGACATGAAAGTCCTCACCACGGAATGAAAATGGCCACTTCGGCCTAGAATTTTTTTCACCATGGCACTCAGTCTGCAAACCATTCCAGCCTGATCATCCTGGTTCCATGATATCTGCGTTCACAAGAAAACATAGGACAATATGCACATCATTAGTTCTAACATACATCCAATGTTTGTTGCGAAAACAGTATAATACGCAGCTCTGCTGTCTATATGACAATTGCAAAGAGTCTCCCCCTTCCACCGCGTTCAATGAAGCGCAACCATCCGTCATTGATTTTGATCCAACGCAGCACCACCTACAAAAAGTAGGGCACCAAGTTCCTAGGTGGCGTCGCTCGGCTGCTTGCCTCCACCTCTGTAAAGATTTCGAAACGCCGGTTACAGTATTTATCGACCATAAGGACGCTGGCTATGTTGCCACACCGATAGCAATAGTTAGGCGCCGACCAAACGGTAACAAGGTCGTACTCCGCGTCTGAGATGCCACCGCGGTCAGGGAGTGAAAGAGGGAACGAGAGAAAACAAGAACATGTGTTCTAGTAGAGGAGAGGAAAAGCGGAATCAAAGACTGAAGATGATGTCCTGAGTTGTAGTTGTACTTCTTACAACCGTTAAGTACTTACTTATAATCTCATTCTTATCGTTGGACTACAGATTCTTGATAGCAAGACTCTACCTGAGCGTAAGCTACTAGTCCTTGAAGTCCGATTCGAGCGCGTTTTTGAAAGCGCATGAGCGGGTGCAAGGTCCGCAAGTAGGCGCTGATGTGGTGAGGGGAATAGTGCGGCGTCTATCTCTTCAAAAGCTGCAGTTGTGGATGGCGGTGCTGCAAATGCGTCGTCACTAGCCTTGTTGCCAAAAGCATCGTTACCAGCAAAAGCGTCGAACTCAGCAAAGTTTGCCCAATTACTGTCTTCCTCCTCTACTTTATCATTTGTTGAAGAATTCGTCTGAGCAGATTCGCCAGGACTGCTGCTGTTGTTGCTCTCCGCAACAGCTGCATTTGCTGCTTCCGTGGCTGCCGAGCTGCCTTCCCTCAAGTCAAAAGGATCTAAGTCTAAGGGGAAATCCCCAAATTCATCATTTTTCTTCCTATAACGACTTGGCTCCTCACCACCAGTAGTACTAGTGCCGCCGCCAAAGTTGTCACTCTTCGCTTTTCTTGCAGTTGCATTTGTTGCTTTCAGTGCGTCGTCTTGTTTAGCTATCTGTGGCGCCAAGTCCTCGAGAAGTTTGGCGGAAAAGCTTTCCCGTTCGAACATGTACTTGTAGCCTTCCTGCACAAGCTGATGCGCACGAGCTATTATGTCCATGCCATTGATGCTATTCCATTGCCTTGCTGGGTCTGGGCCAAACAACCACCCGGCACCTCGAGGATTCCTCGACCATCCGTCGACGTTGGGATCTGGGTCGGACCACACAAGGTCGCCGAAACTGCCCTCGTGTGGTATTTCGCACACACGCTGGATGCGGCTTGGCTTAGAGACGTTCTGTCAGTGTTCAGTGTCATTCTTGCGCAGTGTCATTGCGCATATCAACTCATCTCAGTCTCACTTCCATCACATGTCAACATCGATGTAGTTAGACATCGCATATCAACATCTCGGTCACACACGGACATGATCACGAGTGTTATTACACCCTGCTGCTCAGGACTAGAGTGGAATGATACTAGACAATCCTTCTTTCTGCCATAAGAATCTGGTCTATGAGCAGCAGGTCAGGCGCTAATCCTCCGTGCACGCAGAAGATCTTGTTCTCGACCACTGCCGCGATGCACAAATAGTCAAATATTTCTACACAGAAGCGCCAACTGTTGACGTTTCCGTACTTTCTTAGGCATTCGTCATAGAAACCGTAGACCTGAGTGATCTGCCTGCTTTCGTGGTTGCCGCGTAAAAGCGTTACCTGTCCCGGAAAGCACAGCTTCAACAACAACAGTAGTTGAAAGGTCTCTACGGAATTGAATCCTCGATCTACAAAGTCTCCGAGAAAGACATACTGGTTGGTCAGTCGCGTCAAATCCGAATCTCCTGCTTTCCGAAACAGCTCTAGCAGATCGAAAAACTGACCGTGGATGTCCCCAGCAATAACGACGTACGGCTTTCGGACCTGCTCAATATGTGATACTCTTTTTATTTGATATAATTTGAGCACGACTGACAAGTTGTAGAGGTCGTACAGCCAAAAAAGCAGTGCGGAAACCTTTTTTTCTAAGCGAGGTCTTGATAAGAAGAGAAACAAACGATATTTTAGTTAGGAGTACCTGCACAGGCACGACCGTGGACTCTTCTAGAAGCAGCGCTTTGACTCGACGACATACCTCTTTTAGGGTTTGTTCGGGCAAAAACTGATGTTTCTTTTGCAGATCGTCTATCAATCTTGCCGGGTCAAAAGAAGAAGCCATCGCGCGGACTGCAGCAAATGATTGGTGTCCCTGATCTTATTTAAATTTGATAAAGTTGGTCGCCAGACTGTACTACACAATCACAATGTTTCTCCAAATTTCAAGCGCTCATGGTGAAGGCTACTCTGCAATCGACATTTGGTTGTTACTCGGAACTTCATCTTGCCCGCGCTGCACCACGTCGAAGGAGTCCGGAAATTGGTATGTTCATCGACTTCGTAGCTTTACTGTGCAACCTCGTTTTCGCTTGGTCAGACCCCCTCGAATCTTCGTCATGGCCAACACCTCTAGTAAAAATGATCAAGTTGCTCGGTCGATGAACGAGAGAGAGCTCTTGTTGTTGCTGTTGTTGATGCAGCCATCAGAATCAGAAACATAATCGTGAGGATTAACAAATATGGGCATCGTGCGCGAGAGACAGATGAACAACAGACCGGTATTAATGCCAAGAGAAAAGCAAAGGATGGAGCAATTTTCAGGAGGATCCAAAATGTAGGGAGACAGATACTACCGATGAAACTAAGTGCTTTCGGTAGCTCCACCTAAGGCCTTTTCGCTCGAATCATGTCGGATTCTCTGCTCACTCCAAGTCGCACTTGTACCTCTTTATATTGGATCGCACTTGTACCTTTTTCATCTCTTAGGAAAGTTTACTAGATCAGAGCCTAGAAGGAGGTCCGGATCAGCCATCAACGCCAGTAGTGAGTTTCAACGCCAGTAGTGAGTGGCAACACCTGTTGACGATGAGCTCGGCTCGCGACGAACACTAAACTGCCGTGTGAAGCAGCAGACAGACTGACGAGTCTCCATGTTATCCTTTGCGATGACAGGTGCCATCGAAGGACCGCAAATCGTGGTGTCCTCAAGCATAATATATAACGAAAATGTTCTAATTCATTGCCAAAAACTAGTATACAACAAGCATTCAGCCACTGGTACTACGTTGTCTGAGCACCGTTGCATGCTGCTTTTCAGTGTTGCTTTCAAGTTCTGTACTGACTGCTGTCGTCGAATCGAAACTATAACCCTTGGCTCTACCTTGCGAGGTAAGCTGCTGTGTTCAGACCAGAGTTTGCTAAGAACGTTGTTTGCATTTGCTAAGACTTTGATATTAGAAATTTGCTAAGAATTTTTAGACTCTACTTCGCTATCGCCTAGTCCCACTAGAAGTCCCTCGCCATCGCTGCCTCTCTTCGTGCTTCGGCAGCCAGCTTGCGCCCCGCACAGTAGTTATGATAAAACGAGATACTCCGTGCGCGCTCATCCTTGGTTACACCTGTCGTGTGGAATGTGTGGAAGTGAGCAGAATAATGTGAAAAGATCATCATGGTAAGTCCTTTTACTAAGTTCTTTCACTACAACTGCTGTGTGCTGAAGAGAGATGGTGCATGGATCAGGTGAAAAATTGAGGAGATGCAAATTCTGTCTGAGATGAACTATAATGTGGTAACTAAAAACTAATAATTCAAAACTAAAACAGAGTACAACCTCTACCAATAGCATCAACTGCAATAGCCACTCTTCAGTCCTCATATTAATCTCAATACTGGTGTGATCCACGCTCCTCGCTTGTGGGATACAGCCTACGACGAATGCCCGATAACCTTTTTTGGCTTCGAAAGGATTACCGTTTAGAGTTATCTTCTCTAATTTCTGCAGTCCTGAGAGCTTCTCCACATGCGCCAAATTGCCTAGCTTGTTGCCATGCATATACCTGGAGTGCGAAGGCAGCTCTTTGGGTGGAAGACGGTTGTTCCCTTCAGTCGGAAATTAGACAAAAAAAAAATTCTGCTTGTAATTTCGAAGAATAACCTATTACCAAAACATCATCACTACGTCTCAAGTGATTGTACAAAATCACCGGCATAAATACAAGCATAAAAACCAGAATACAATGACTTCAGGTTTTCCAGCGTCAGCAAGCTCTTGTCTATCGCCGTCAGCTGATTAAAACTCAGGTCCAACCACAGGAGCGCCGTTTCTGTTTTTTGAATGAGAATCAACAACAACACTCGTTCATTCTCAGTACTCGCAAAGGATCTGCGTTGACTCCACAGTGTGCGCCTTATTTGGTCAAAGTTATGTCATGACAACTGCGAAGAAATGGCTTATCATGACTCAGAAATTCAAATTGTGATTCATCCATATGCCTCAATACCTGGCCTCGGCACCGGTGCCCGTGTCATGGTTGCTAACTGCACGTTGATTTGTGGAGTTGCGTCTATCAGGTTGTTATTGAGCCGCAAGCCTACTATTTGCTTTTTTGATAATACCCGTTTCGGACTACCCAACTTTGCTGCTATTGCAGCGTCCACCGCACTTACCGCACCTTCACGTAATCGGTCCTGGGAGATATCAAAGTCGAGAAAGGTCGGTGAACAAACAACGTCTTTATGTCTATACGGAATGCTATATTTTTCGATTTAGAGCAGAAGTTATAGTTTCATCTCTCTCTCTCTAACCTGAAGATGTAAATCTTAATGTTAAAGTTAGTATACCTTCAGCTTCGCCTCTATCCCTAGCACATCGCCATTCCTTGGCACTTCGTTTGAGAGGTCTGATATGGTTTTTATCTCTTTGAAGGAGAAATCGAGGACGCCATGATAGGGTAAGATGATGTCGTCCCCTGACGGGATCATCCCTGGAGGACCCGCCATTCTGGTCGCCTTGTAGGCGTCCTTGTTCAGAGGACAAGGGCAAGGGCTAGCTATAACTTACCAGCCCCTAGCAACAACCATATTGATGTCCTAGAAGAATTAGAAACTTCTAGGAACTAGACTCTCATTGATGTCAATATGAATTTTCTATGTATGATGAATAGATTTCCGATCAACATGGGAGTTATTTGAGTTTTTTCGATATCAGTTAGTACTCAGAAAAGGATTTGGCTGCTTTCTCTTCGCAGAAGTAAGTATTTGGAATAGAGTTCATCGTCACATCGTTGGTCGTGTTATTCAATAACAGTAACAACAACTCGAAAGCATAAGATGATGACTCGTTAGTCTTGATTGATGATGATGTGCGAACGATAAGGATAACTTTATGTATGAAGCAACGACGTCTACAGTGTAAAAAAAAACTACACAATTGGGAAACTTCGTTGGGGATCATGGGCGACAAGGGTGGCGGCTTCCTACAACGCTGTAGTCTTTATTGAGTATGCGGACCGATAGGGATAATGCCAGGGTCTTTTTCAACGTCAAGCATATCTTTCTCATATGTCTTCAGCCTCACACTCTCGGGCACCGATCAAAGAGGCGTTAGCTTCGTAGTTATGAAGGACATCATGCTCTAGCAAAAAACTGCTCTACCGCAATAGACTCATCTCTCAGAGAACACGAGAACGGAAAACACCATTGATTCATTGAGCGTACTTCTCTGTAAACAACTATAATATTTAGTAAGGAATCTTTTTTTAAGCGTGAAAAGAAAAAGACTTCATGATTACGCGACGCTGTATTCAGCGAAAAGCGTTGTTGGCACGACTAATGTAAAGACGGAAGGTACTTACTCAACCGATTGCGTTTTTTGTCGTCCGCAAAGACACTGGCGAAAGAAGAAGACACAGTATCAAGCAGTTACTGAGGTATTAGAAACAGAAAATATTTATATGAAATGGGAAAAAAGAATAGGAAATTTACCTCTATGATTCACGAAACAACCAGCCTTGCCGCGTCTAAGATATCACGGCTTTTGCTACGAGCCTTGAGTGATGCGCTAACCCGGCTCTCGGAGTATGATACGTCTCCAGGTTGCTGCGAAGAAACGACACTATTTCCCTTCCCACCAACATGCGTTCCCCGAAATCTGCTTTTGAGCCAAGAAGACGTGGTTGAAGAACGGTACTCTCGTTCACGGCGAGCAGGAGTACGCTTGCTCCTCTGGTTGGTCCTTAGTGCTGTTCTTAATGCAGGAACAATGGCCGAGGTGTGCTGCTGCTGATCCTGGTACTTGTTTGCCGCAGCACTAAAAGCGTCTGCGTCGATGTTTTTCGGCAGTTCACGTGATTCCATCAAAGGCGTTGCAGCAGAAGCAGAATGAGAACAGGACGATCCAGAATTAATCTCCAAGAAATCTCTGCTGAACAAAGCTGCTCCTGTAATATGCTTTTTGTTCCGTGCAAGACATTTAGCGAATATCTCATCGATTATTTCTTCATTGATATTATCGGGAGATCTGCTAGAAGACGTAGGTCTCCTCCCGTGCTGCTTGTCCCCTCCTCCGCCAGTAGGCGGCACATCCATGCTTTTACTCGAGGATGTTTGATGTTGTCCTTTACCAGGAAGCAACTTCGTCGAATTGCTCTTTGTTCTGCCTCGGTTACCGGGTCCTAAGGTGTAGCCAATGCGACGGAAGGGATTATTGCTCATATTCCGTCTATTTGAAGAGGTCAGGGACCGAGTGCGAGCGGCAGAAGACGGCTGTTTTGCTGTGCTGGCGGCTTGTTTGTCAGTAGCTCCTGTGGCAATGTTTCTTTTCAAAGTAGATTTTGCAGATCTTGTTGAGGCTCCCTTTTGCGCAGCGTCACCTGTTCTGCTCAAGTGGCTACTTGAACGAGACGTCGAAGACTCAGACGAGTGGTCTGTTACGTAGGACTTCTCGTTCTCAGCGTCTCGGATAAACTGAGAGACCATCATCGGAACTTGAACGTCTCGCACAGGCGGAAGTGACCACCCAGTGCTGTCACCACCCATACCTGACTTGAGTCGCTCTAACTTGTCCTCAAAAGCAGGATGATCGCTTGTAGCAACAGAAGAAGACAACTCTTCACTGTGCTGCTGTTCTGCGTCTGCGTCTACCATGACTGCTCGTCTATGGTCTTCCGAGGAACTTCGTGGTTGTTTCTCCGAAGGACGACCACTCCTCTCGACGGCACTATTTTCTTTCTCTTCGCGACCACTCAAGCTCGTACCGCTACCTCCACGACGCAGAAGCGTTTTCTGAAAAATCTCTTCTAAACACGCTGCCGCGGTGTCCTCTAGCACGACTGACTCGGATAGAATAGCCTCATCTCTCCTACTATGATCCTCACAAACGAGATTCTCCTGGTGTAGTTGGGAGCGCTGACGCTCTTGCTCTTTGAGTGCTACTGCTTTGTTTTGAAGTTGAAGATGATCATACTCTTCCGCCGATTTCTCGATGACAAGTCGTGATCTTTCCGCTCTTGATACCGCATCATCTACTTTTGCTTTTTCCTCCCTCTCATCCATTTGTAGTGATGCAGGTTTTCCTTCAGAGCCCGTAGCCACAGCCATGTCGCGATCTCCCATAGGTGCTGAATTACCCTCTTGGCCGAGTGCGACAGCGTGCGTTTGTGCTTGTGTCTGGGAGGACGCATCTGGAGCATCCAATGTCGCGATGTACATTCTGAGCATGGAGTCACAACTCGATCTAGCCTCTGTTTCACGGAATGGAGACACAAGCCAAGAGGTCGAGCATGCTTCGGGAGAACCACGCTGCTTGTTGCAAGTAGCGGCTTCCTTATCCTTCGTGGTAAATGTAGCGGACCCAGGAACAGGAGCCGGAGCTGAAATATCTTTCTGCAAAGCGCCTCCAGTTGCTCCCTCAACAGCGCTGCCTTCAAGTGCTGTAGCTGGCTCCTGCGCTCGTTGTGTTTCCGTCTTATACTCACGACACGAAGTATTCAATATAGCAGATGAATTTTGAGCTATGACAGCATGGTCAGGAAGACCTTGCTCCTCGTATTCTGCAGGTGACCCGGCAGCCGCTACTCCTTGATCTAAAGTCTCCTTCCGAAGTTCGTGACTAGACAAATTCGCTTGGTCCTGATGTATCGACCTGAAGCTCTCGTCGATTCCCGTACCCATCGCCGCTTCCGCAAGCAGGCGTTCTACCAGTCCTGTAGCGGCGTGGTCCTGATCATGCACGAGCTGCAAATTATCCCCATCATGATCTTCGGTGCCGTAATTCATCTCCTGTAAGCGCTGTTGATCTCTCCTGGCCATCATTCTTGATGCGTAATCGATTTCCCTTCTTGCAACAGTCGACGTTGAGAAGGACATCTGCCCTAGACGATCCTCCTGACCGTGAGCAAACTGACCACTCCTGTCTTGTTCCCCTAGAAGCAGCTGTTCCTCATAGGAGTAGTTGTAACGCCGTGAAGGTGGCGATTTTTGCGGAGGTGGTCCTAGTACTGTGGTCGTAGTGGGAAGCAGGGATGTCGGAAGTAGCGTTGAAGGTGGAAGAGAACCCTGTAGTTCCTGTAGTTGTTGTTGGTGTAGTTGTGGGGGATAGACCATGTTACTGTTCATCATATGACCACTGCTTCCTCCGTATGAGCCATACTGCTGGGCGTGCTGCGGCTGGAACAAATCTCCAGGACCCGGAGGTTGAAGATTATTACCAACTCCTCCTGCCTGTCCCTGTGCTTCTTGCTGTGTTCTGAAGACAGGGGTAGGCGGTGGTCCTGCCGCTGCGTCCGGACTCTGAATTTGAGGTGGGCGAATGTACTGCTGAGCATGTTGCTGGGAACGAGTTAAAAGCGAGTCCTGTGCTTGTTGAGAACGCATGTGAGGATCTCCGTACCTTGCTCCACGACTCTGTGATCTTGACCAGTCGCGCGACGCGGACCGCAAGCTGCCAAACCGAGAGGTCGAAGTCGTACCACCGCGAATAGGATGATGGTGCTGCTGGTGCTGCGGCATCAGATGAGTACTAGTACTATTCGTGTCCTTGTTATAATAACCTCCCGTCGTGGGACTAGGAATAGGATAATGTTGTTGCTGATTAGCGTACATTGAAGAATGACTAGCATGCTGCTGTTGCTGCTCAGGAGCAGGAGGTCCTCCTCGTGCTGCCGCAGTCCTGGCTAGCCATGGCGAGGAAGTCAGGTTCTTTGCAGCTGCTGCAAGCACTTGTATAGTACCAGGTGGGTCGATGTAAGCGCCATTCTTCTGCAAAACAATCAGCCACTCCAGTAGTCGTCCTAACGTTTCCGCGGAAAACGTCTTTGGCTTGGAAAACGTCGTTGCCCCATTTGGACTTGGAATAGGAAATCGAATACAGAATTGTGTGCTAAGGTTGGTTACAGATGAAGCATCTGAAGGATTAACAGGCGCAGCGGGTGGCACAACAACATGAGCACCGCGAACAGACCCATATTCCTCCCAATTTTCTCCGACGCCACCTCCTCCTGTCGGATTCTGCTGACAAGATGAACCCCCTCCAAACGAACTGCCCAACAAAACCCCATTCCGCAGAAATATCATCGAAGCTTGCTGTTTCGGAGGTGGTGGGTTCTTCACAGCCGTACCTGGTGCAGAGGCACTAGCTCCACCGCCGTTTTGTGGTATAGCTGCTGCCGCACTCACAGATGACGGCGCCGTCTTACTCCCCAGAGAAGGTACCATTTCTTTGCTCTCGGCTCTAGTCGTCTGCGTATCCTTGGTGGTCGTTTTAGTCCCCTTCCGGGACGTAGGAGTCAACGTTGGTAGCTGTTGCGATCCACCGTCAATGTTCTCAAATATTTGATGTGCTGATAATGAGCTGTCTAGATCCAAGAAACTACTATGCATCATCATTTTCGCTGGCAACGACTTCACGCTCTCAGGCCACTCCAGCATAGACGATGTGTCCGCGACCATCATCTGCTGCATCAAGTTCTTACTTCCACCTACTCTTTGTGAATTATCATCCTCTACATTTTGTTGGCTGTTCCACCATGAAGACATCCACTGTTCTGTTGAAGCATGGTGCGTTTCCGCCGCTGTCCTTGCCTTGTTACTCGGATGATGTTGACCGGGCCCGGCGCCTGCGCCTACTGTGTAGTCCTCTTGCTTTTGTTCCTCTTCGGGTCTCTCCATGACTACGAGGCGTCCAATTCTGTTATTCTCGACCCGCTCGCTAACGGACGACTCTCCTTGCTTGTTTGATGACAGCATTCTCTGCCAATGCTTGTTCGCGATTCGCCGACTCCTATCGTTGATCTTTGGAATGAAATTCTGAGTCGCAGAAGTAGATGCAGCGTGATTTCCGTTTGAATTTGATATCCCGTTGTTAGGGAACAACAAGCTACCTCCTCCTCCTCCCTGAGCGGATAAAGTTGTTCCTGGCGCTGTTCCAAGTCCGCCCCACGTCGCAGCTCGCGGCGTGGTTGGCTGGGACAAACAAGCGCCTCCGCCTGTGGGTGAATCTAGTGCACCGGGAGCTTCTCGACGACGTCTGAGCCTGGCTTTCAGAGATTGCGTCATGCTCTGCGTCTTACTGCCTCCGGAACCCGCTGACCCTGCGGTTAGCTTCACTGAAGGAGCACCACCTTTATTATTGTTGGTACTACTTCCTGTACCAGTATTGATTCCACCACAAGAACTGCTCTCTTTGCTATTAGCACCTCCCTCATTTCCTCCTGCAGCAGAATCAGCGACATTTCCTGCAAATGGCACATGCTGTGGCGATGGTGGCGAGCTGCTTGGTGTGGATGCACTACTGTCATCCGCGGATGGCGTGCCGCTACTTTGCTCCCTTTTTTCAATTGTCCCAGCACTCTTTGCTCGCGCAGCAGAAGTTGATGTTGCGCCAGCACCACCACCTGTAAGATGAGTAAGTAGAGTTGTATTATTCTGGAGGACGTCGCTAGGCTGACTTCTTTCAAGAATGTTTAGGTGCTCAGTCTGGTCCTCTGTAGAACCTCCCGCTTTCATGCTTTGCAGTGCACTAGGAGCTGAATGTGAGTTCCCTTTTGCCGCGTGCTGTAAGGGTACACCACCACCATCGCCTGCTGATTCATCTGCAGCTTCTTGGACGAGAAACGACTTATCTTCGAGCTGCATGTTAAAAATATTGCCATCTAGCAGATGAAGACCACCTGGATGTAGTAGTTGCTGCTCCCCATATCGCTCTCCGTACGGATCTCCTTGGAAGTCTACTCCTGCTCGTACACCTCCAGAAGTTTTCATGATTTGGGGTGAAGACACGCTCCGTGGCTCTCGGCCTCCAGTAGACAGGTCTACTGTACGAAGACTATCTCTGCCTCTCGTCTTTGTAGTTCTCAATAGAGGGTCACTCAGCAAATCGTCACTGGTGTTCCCTACGCTGCTCCCACAACTCGCACGCGAAGCAGGAGCAAGGTTGCCTGCGGTGGCTGGAAGATTGTAACCAGCCACAGAGGCTCCTTTATAATTCCTGGACGTGCCACCAGTCGTAGCGCCTGTCGAAACTGTACTAGCAGCACCTCCACCTCCATAGTGAGCATGGTTAAGAACATGTTGGTAAATTATGTTAGAAGATGTGGAGGTAATGTAGTTGCCTCCAGGTGTGCGTGCTGCGGCGTTCCAGGAAGATCTGCCAGCGGGTCCACTAGAGGGAGGCACTCCAGCTGCACTACTGTTGAAACCCTCCGGATAATTCATCCCTTGGTAAAAAAGAGCCTGGTGCTGTTGAACATGCTGAGAAGTAGTCGGCGAAACAAGGACTTGATGGGGTTGGTGGTGGTCTTGGTGAGGAGGTGGCGCCCTGCCTCTTCCGCGCATCTGAGACGCTACTGCTGCAGGATGCAGGGTTTGATCAGCAACGCCATAGGGCTGTGGCGATGAAGATCGCGGGATCATGCCATTACGATCTGGACCTGAGGTATGCAAAAATGGAATCATGCCAAGACAATAACAAGTTAGTGACATATGTTTAAGGAACTAGAAGCAGATAAATTTCAACTAGTAATCCAGCAGGCTCAAAACAAAATACGCATTCCTCCCACTCGACGGCTGTCGAGCATATCGCTTTTTCCGTTCCCACATGTACCCAGTGATAGCAACGTATTAGTGCTGCCAATCGGTGTCGTCAATGGTGTGAAAGGTCGCGTATTCACGGGAGTATTTACCGGCGGTCCGTTGCCAGCATAGCCTCCTTCACGTGGATACACCGGGTAAAAAGATGACGCGATGGCTGACTGGTGTTGGTTAACCGGCGTTGTCGTTGGATTACTGTAGCCTGTATTCATATTGTAGAGGTAGTTCTGGCCTCCAGGAGTTTCTGCAATAGGCGTCGTGATCTGTTCCTCGTCTGGCACGAAGAGTGCTGCAGGCGGACAGCTTCGAAGAAAATGCTGCCTGCGTCTACCTCCAGACATCGACTTCTCGGAATGATTCGACGCCTGCAAGTGTTCTCCTCGAGGTGCTTCAGTTTCAGTAGGTGTTTTATTTTTAGCTTGTGGTCCTTGTTGTTCTTTTCGCTTGCGCTTTTTTCCATCTGGTGATCGGGAAGTCTCTTTGTCCGATGATTTCGAAGTAGCTCTACTTTTTCGCCCATTGATACTACCGGAGTCCTTCGCTGCTTTGACATGTTCTTTGGTGATCGCACCATCAGCATCATCATGGGTCAACATAGAAGCCGTTTGTTTACTCTTCTTTTCGCCACGAAGTACCTCTTCCCCAGTATCTAGCCTCTCCGACATCCGCTTGTCTCCATGTGGTGTGAATTCATCGGCAACACTCGCACACGACGACGTTGAGGAAGCAGTTACCGCATCTGAATTATAGTCGTCGATGCTGTTCCGCGCCAGTCTCATCCGACGACCGCGTCGAAGCCGTTTCTTCTGCATCCTTGCGCGACGCCGCTCCTCTTTAGTCGCTGCTTCATCGGCACTGCTTGATGAAGACTTAGAACGATTTTTTATCTCCGTTCCCACGTGAGGCTGATGCACATCTCCTTCTCGTTGATGTGATGATGAGCCTTGTGTTTGTGTAGTTTGCTTTTCATCTCCAGTACCAGTTGTAGTTTCCTCCACCTCCGTGTCTTGGTCTTCCGTGTCTTTGTCTTCCTTTCTTGGCCGTCGCAATTGCGGCATCGTCCCCTTCAAAGTCAAAAGACTCGCGGCCATGCTCAAGGCTAACAACCTCCACTGTTGCTTGATTAAGTCATGTCGGTACTGGTAATTCACCTGTCGACCGGGTGTTGGCGACATCTCCTGTCCACTGCGATACCTCAGCTGATCTCTACTAGATGCGCCGTCTCGCTCACCATCATCCGAGTATCCCAACCCTTCGTCTTCATCCGAGTAGCTAGCTCTTCCATCGGGTCGGATGTGTTAGAAGAATATTCACATTGTAAATTGCGTTTAAGTCCACAAAGGAGCCAGAGTAGGATCTCCAATATGTCATGTGTTCGCTCCGTGTTGTACTCCTTACTCGACCTTCAAGTTCAATAGAAAAGATGAACAACTACTTACATAAGTACATGCTCGCCATACTATAAGGCTCCCTCTGCTGCGCTGCTCCGTGGCGCGCGATAGTGATCGGACGTCGCTACCGACAAACAGCTGATCCCAGGCATTCGCTTCTTCGCTCTAAAGCAGCTAAAAATGCTACTCGAGCGGCGTCGTGGCGGTGGGCCGCTGGACGTGGCCGAACTGGAAGCTGCCATCGACATCGTCGGACCTCCCGAGGTTGCACTTGAGCCTGGGTTTACGTTTGCTCCTCCGCGGGACGATGACGCTGTCGTTATCGTCGCAGTGGCCGTTTTTTCGAATTTTCTAGTTCGTGATCCTGTGCGCGTCGACCAGCACAGCGATGTCCTGCTTTTCGACGACGACGAAGTCTTGCTGATTTTCGTCGTGGATAAGCCTGAGGAGCTACTAGAAGTTGCCGGACCAGTGCCCACGACGACAGAGGCAGCCGTCTTCTCTTGGGATCTACTGGTTGGAACCATCGTGGACGCTTGTTGCGAATTTGATAGGTCATTATATTTTTGCGCTTGCAACCTCCTTGTTTGTTCATTTTTCAATCAGGAGACGTTCAGTTTTGTCCAACAGGTAGGTTTTTGGTCGGGTTTACTACGCTATCACTTCCGTAGGAAGTGGTAGCGTTCAATGATCAACTCAACAGATAAGACCATTTGTGAATGAAATTGCTTCCTTCCCGTGTGAAAAAAAAAACCTCAAAAATGGCCGTTTCACAGCCCTCTTTTCAAAGGCTTCGTTTTATCTTGAGTGCCACAAGTACTCGGTCTCTCACTTGTTCCGCAGCAGGCGAGTGGATGATGATCCAGAAGATTCACCGCTCAGTATAGTGAAATACCCTTCAACGGGATCAAAAAATAATTGAATCGTGGTTCATTTCTTACTTCTGCAGATGTAAGTAGGTCCTAACCATCCCAGGCCTGCAGTTCTTCGAACCTGACATGTTGTAAAGCAAAGAGTGGAAGCATTCCACCTGCTTTCTGCATTTTATATTTAAGAGATCCTTACCCTGGTGCCTGCCAGCCCGTTTCGCAAATTTTCAGTTCGCTACAATGTAACAGTCTCAATAGCTACGATGCCCACTCGTCACAAAGAATGAAGCATAGAAAGTAGACCAAAAATGGCAAAAAATCGTTCTTATGCATAGTGGGCAGTCCAAAAGTAGACACGCCATCATTTAAGACTCTTTTCTCATTATTTTTGTTGTCCACAAATAAATTCACGACTAAGTAAATCCTCAATGTCGCCATTCCCCTGTTCGCCTTTGCTCTGTTGAATAACGCGGTTCTCGACTTGATGTAGCTGCCGTCGGCATATTAACAGGCCTCGGCGACCCAAGCCGCGGGGAGGCGGGCAAACGAGGGCTATTGATGTACAACACCCGATTCTGGCCCACAGCCGATGGACGGCGACTGCTAACCCTAGAAGTACTCATTCTCGATGGATCGACTTGTAGCCGGACAGGCGACGCAACTGGTGGCGTAGTAGTTGTACTCGCTGTTGAAATCGGAATTGGTGGCTGTCGCGTGAAAGTAGGAGTGGAAGTATGCGATTGTTGATGTAGTTGACTGTAGTTGTTGTCATTCTTCACATTTAGATTTAACCTCGGTGCTGCACCGTTCATCATGTTCGCTGCCGTCCTAGAGGAAGCCGGAGAGCGGTCGTAGGGCGAGAAGCGCATTCCACTGCTGCTAGTGAGTTTGAAAAACGTCGATGTCGAAACGTGATCCGGCTCAATCTCGGGTTCCCTTCGACCACTTACTGGCGTTTTAGTTTTTATGCCAACAGGATGTGAAGAAGAACTTACGACAACCGGAGGTGCCTCTCCACCTCCATCTTGTCCGCTTTGCCTCGAAGTAGGCTCTTCAGCTCCAGCTAGATGTCCAGAGATTTCATCAGCCGATTCCACCTTACGAATCTTTTCATTACGAACAGCGGTGAGCCATTTATTTCCCAACTGCTTGGCCTTCAAAAACGGCGCCTCGAGACTGGGTCGCAGCATCCGCAGCGACATCAATGTAGGTCCAACTGGCTGGTCTCGCTGCTCCGTGAGCAAGGTGTGTATGAAGCGAAAAGGTTGGGGGTAGAGGTTTGATATCAAAATCCAGATGAAAGAGATGTTCACGAAAACTAAAGCAGGGGCCTGCTTCTAGTTGTACGCTCATTGTCATGTATCCTTCTGGAATATCGATATTGACAAACGAGTACGAGAGACCATGTTGTTCGCCGATAAATATAGCAGAAAAGGAGCAGGACCACCAAAGAGGAAGATCAAGAGGAGGATAAGGGAAAGAAAAGGATGAGTAAGGGAAGAGTGCACTTCTGTTGAGTAGAAAACTTCTGATTCGTATCGTGATCTGAGGGCATCTCGAAAGAAAATTCGATTGCCAATATTATCCTTATTCATTAATTAAAAAAATTTTTTCTTCATCAATAACATCATCCATCATGCATGATACACACGAAAATTCCCCTTGGGAACAACAACGTCAAAACTGTTCAGTTTTTGTTAGCCTTTTAGTGTGGGAAGCAAAGAGGCACGCGACGAAGCGCGGGAGCATCTAAACCTTTGGTTTCTTTGTTCAATTTTACAACAATCGCATCCCGGTTTCCTTCCTTCTTTTTCGGTCATCTGTTTTCCCTTTTCGGTTTTTGTTAAAGAAACAAACAAGTGAAAAACAAAGAAGAAGAGAAGAGAAAGATAAAGAAAGGAATTGATCTCAACTGCGATATTGTTAGGCATTTACGAAGGCGCATGACTTCCTATAGTGTCTTTATTTATGTGGGTTTTTGATGAGGAAATATTAAAATTGTTTTGTTTTGTATTAAAATTGTTTTGTTTTGTATTCACATACGATGTTTGCGCTTTTGTTTAATCCTTTGATCGAATTCCCGACTAGTGATATTTGTCGAAATTGATACTCAATTTTTTTTGGCTCCCTTTCTGTTAACTTTGTTGGACTTTCCTGTAAATAACTACGCTTATATAGTGACATGCGTAGTTGTACTAAGGGATGTTTGAAGGTGTTTCTCGCCTGTAGTGATGAGGCTCCCACGACGTTTAACCCGGTATACGACCCCAATTACCAACCCATCTGGAATAGATCCATCTACATCAGACGTAGGTCACTGCTAGACTTGTGGAAAGTGTTACACATTTTTAAGAGCCACTTACTCAGGGAATTTAACGACGTGTATGAATACGACTGGAAACTTACAAGATACATACTACAAAGGGCACACAAGTTCTTCGGGTTTCTCAACGAGATTATAATCAAAGAATCCAGTAGATATGTGTGCTACAAGTGCTCTTTTCGCCAGGGAAGGTGTACTTGTATACACGTACTCGAACCAGAAAGACATCCTATACTATTGCGTACAAGCGCTGTGTCTGAGCTCCGGAAATGCTCTGGGCTCCTGTACCTTGTATCCGAGGCCCTAAACATAAGGGCGCCGGCATACAGGGGCTCTATTAAAGGACTTCCCAAGAAAATCAGGGACGAGATTTTACTGCTAGGTGACTTGCTAGGTGGCTTGTGGTTATCACAGGCTAGGACTAAGAGGGAGAAAGCCCTCCATGCCAAGGTGTGTGGCGGGTTATGCTCCTCGGCAGAAGACCTCGGCGAAAGAAAGCTCGTTTATGCAGCTTTCAGGCCTGGAACTAAGTCAGTATATATAGGACAGACGAAAGTGGGCATGGGAAAAAGAACCCTAGGCCACTGGCGGGATGTCCTATACAAGACAGAGAACAGCACAGACTTACTTCATAGAGAATTAGCACGCAACATAGGTAGTTTTATTTTCATGCGAATGATCAAATGCGACTCAAAGTCTACCACCGAGATTAACCAACTAGAATGCTTAGCAATCCAAGCCTGTGGAACTCTGAATAAAAAGCACGCAGTAAAAACTGCAAAACCACTCACGAGCTTAGTAGCAACTATCGACACAGACAAGAAAAAGCCCAAATTTTCTAGATACCACAACAGCAGGGAACTATTTGACCAAAAAAGAGAAGACTACTGTAAACTATTCACGCGGGGCGTGGTCTCTAAGACAATATCAATGGGGGTTAGTTTGTCTAGGAGATCACGGGTGCCCATAGACACTAGGCGTTGGATTTTAGGAATACCTGCGGAGAAGTATCTACTGATAAAAAGGCAATGGCGCCTCTCTGGGTTGACCTCCGCGTGCTACTTGGCAGACGACGTTCGGGACAATGCCAAAGCGCGCGGGACCCACAGTAGGAAAAGGCTGAAGAAGCCCATCACTTTGGACCTTTCCATCCCGTGTGGTGTTCTCTTACCTGGGGAAAAGGACCAGCTTAGGGAGATCGCCGCTCACATGAGAGAAAAGCTAGGCCGTCAGCGTGTTAAGATTATTATTAGAAAGAAGCCAGGCCCTAGACTTCTAGACACTCTTGAGAACTCTAGAAAGTTCAACACAAAAGACAAACTAGAAAGGTGCACCTGTATACCATGTAGGGACTTCGTTCCTACGACAGAGCTTCTTAGTGGTCACGTTTTTACAACTACGAACAAGATAAGAAAAATCCAGGGCCTCCCTCCTATTAGTATTAAGGAGCGACGACCTCCCAACGCCGTGCAAGAGTCTAAGGCCATCATACGCGACGTCGCCAAGTTTGGCGTCGCGGGTGACCTAGCCAAAAGACTCGTAGACGTTTACCTATCGACAGTGAGCAGATCTGTTGGGGGACTACCGGCCGTAGGAGTTGAGCCGGCTCTTCGGGAATTCCAGTCAGTTCCCGGATTTTCTGAACTAACATGCCTGGAAGTGGACAAGCCTGACGAGTCTGACCTGGCTGTCTTGTGTCCTTTTCTATATGGGCGCAGGCTCCAGCACTACACAGACCAGTCGGGCTCGTTCAAACCCTTGAAAGGCCACAACGCCATACAAAAACACGGCGAGGCCACGAAGTTTTTTAGGTATACGAAGAAGACTAAGCACAAGTTTCCTAGGACTAGGCTGTTAATAAAGCAGAAAGCTTTCAAGCAAACGGATAAGACCATAACTGACTTCAAGATTCGCCCACTAGCTGGCTACCACAAGCACGTCTACCGCCCAGAACTTAGACGGGCAGCTAAGTGTCTTAATATAATCAACAGCTTCCTCTACGCAGACCTAGTCACTAACACCGTGCAAGACGTTGTCTCGGACATATCAGTAAAGCACTTGAGTAACCACGCCACGGCTGCAATTATGTCAGCTGATATTAAGAACTTCTATGGCGAAGTAGACAGAGCTGAGGCGTTAAAAGTACTAGACAAGAACTTAGAGAAGCTGCGAGCGGCTGGCTATACCTCGGTGGCCTTATATCATAGGGCCCGGGTTGAGCCGTCGTCTGTGGACAAGAACGGCAAGCAAGCTAGATACGTTCCAAAGAAGACTTATGGCTTCTTATCACGAAAGAAAAAGGAAAGAGGCTGCAGCCCAGTATCCCTTGAATTTTTAAGAGACATTATCCATTTAAACGCTGATAATATGATCAGTACTACACCATATGGGGCATACTTGCAGTTGCGAGGTTTACCTATGGGGACGCCTGAGGCGCCCCCCCTCGCAAACATGGTAGCCCTAGAGAGTGAAGCTGAAATGTTTGCAGGACTCACCGAGAACGAAGCTCGTGTCTTCGCGGGCCTTTTCCTTCGTCGACGGTTTGTCGACGACATACTGCTAGTTTTAGACACTCGCTATCCATCCATTTTTGAAAAGCTACTTCGCTACAAAGTACCAGGCTGTGAGATGGAGTGGGAGTGCCCACCATCTAAGGAAATAATCTATTGCGGACTTAGAGTAAGATTTGCTGATGGTGTATTAGTCTCTTCGAGCAAACCTCTCCGGGGCACCGTGGTGGTGCCCGGCGACAGCTTCTACTCCAAGAAGCAGCTCGTGGGGATCATTGTCGGCCATTTATGCCGATATACATCGGGGATCTCAAATAAGCACCTAATTAGCATCGACCAAGAGCTTAGAGATGCTGCAATGGTGCTGAGATCGGTAAGCTACTCGCCTCGACACATTAGAGAGGCGCTGCATATCTTAAACACACGCCATCTCCCAAATAAGTAAAGCAAAGAAAAACTAGCCCAACTTGTGTTGCAGTAAAGTAAGTAGGCCCTTCTTTTCGGTTTATACTCACCACTACCCCCGAAAAAGTGTTCCTTTTATTACGAGTTTCTCTTTTTCTTTTTGTTACGAGTTTGGCTTCTTTTTGTTACGAGTTTGTCTTTTAGTTTTATTTTTCCTTTACCTTTGCCTGTCTTTGTTCTTCGCATAGCGTTTTGTGATACAACTCCTTCAAGATTGGAGAAGTTAGCTCGTATAGATTGCTCTGAGGTCAGCTGTTTAGTCACGTAGCGTCTCCAAGTAGTGCCTAAGTATTCGTTGAAGCATTGCAAACACCTGGTGTACATCCACCACAAGACAGCGAAAGATGTCCTACTACGGAAACTACGGCTCCTCCTTCAACGACAACAACTCCCATAGCGGGGGCTGGAAGACGAGCTATGGCGGTGGTAACAACAACAACAACAACTCCTCTGGTTCCCGCCGTTGCTTCGAGTTCCAAAAGTTCGGGAAGTGCTTCCGTGGGGCTAATTGCCCCTTCCTCCATGAAGATGCTGGTCCTAGTGGTCTAGAAGGTGAAATCAAGGAACGAATCGAGTACATCGCTGGTCATGACACGGAGAAGCTCAAGGACATCAACACATACATCAAGCAAGTAGGTGGTATGACACGAGCAGAGCACAAGCAGTCACTGGCACTAGGAACAGCTAGCGCTAGCTCGGATCAGTCCAATGCGTTACAGATCGCACAAATGCTGAGTACCATCGTCGATAAACTCGACAAGCGCCCAACTTCCTCCCAGGAGGATAACAAGACAACGAAGAAAACGACCAAGGCATCCGGCACAGGTGTCAGAAAAATCGGACGACGCTAACTGAGGTGTCCTGATGCACATCCAAGATGAGAACGCAGATGCGGCAGCTCTAACAGATACTATCACTCTTCTTCAAAATGCTAACTCGTCTGTAACATCACGCGCTAGAATCAATGCCGACAACAAACTAATAGTTGAAAATAAGATGTATCCGCTACGCATTACTGTCGTCAAATGTATTAAAAAGTAATGTCATGAAATCTTGTTCCTCGCTCTTCATACAAATTCGTAATATGTATATCCTTTCTCCCTCTTCTCCTCAGGTGTCCTGCTCCTCGGTCCGATACCACCTGACGACATGGCCATCTCCTGTTGCACTGAAGCTTTGCATTTCTGGAATATCGATATTGACAAACGAGTACGAGAGACCATGTTGTTCGCCGATAAATATAGCAGAAAAGGAGCAGGACCACCAAAGAGGAAGATCAAGAGGAGGATAAGGGAAAGAAAAGGATGAGTAAGGGAAGAGTGCACTTCTGTTGAGTAGAAAACTTCTGATTCGTATCGTGATCTGAGGGCATCTCGAAAGAAAATTCGATTGCCAATATTATCCTTATTCATTAATTAAAAAAATTTTTTCTTCATCAATAACATCATCCATCATGCATGATACACACGAAAATTCCCCTTGGGAACAACAACGTCAAAACTGTTCAGTTTTTGTTAGCCTTTTAGTGTGGGAAGCAAAGAGGCACGCGACGAAGCGCGGGAGCATCTAAACCTTTGGTTTCTTTGTTCAATTTTACAACAATCGCATCCCGGTTTCCTTCCTTCTTTTTCGGTCATCTGTTTTCCCTTTTCGGTTTTTGTTAAAGAAACAAACAAGTGAAAAACAAAGAAGAAGAGAAGAGAAAGATAAAGAAAGGAATTGATCTCAACTGCGATATCTCATGGCCAGCCCTTCCTGGTCACATCTGAGAAAAAGCTTACACAGGAGAAAAACTTGAACTTGTAAAATCAATACTTGTTAACATACAAGCTGCCATAAAATCAACCATCCGCTTCACGCCAGGCGTCGTTTTCAAACGAACCATACCCGGTTCCGCAGTAGGAGGAAACCGCGACACGGTTGAGGGACTATTGCGAGTGGATCGAGATACAGTTGTGGGACTATTCTTGCGAGTGGATGTCGCTTTTTTACGCTCAGATGAGCTGCATGTCTTACGCTCCTCAGTGGATGAGGGTCTTTTCTGCTCGTTGACACTACCACGAGCATCGATGACTGGCGAGGAAGATTTGCTACTACGCGCGGACCTTGACATCTTGTTTGCGCTTGTCTTACTCGATGAACGAGTTTTCGGGGAAGCGGGAGGAGGAGATTTACTCTTTGTCCTCTTAGACTGAGTCTGCCCAGTACTATCGAAGGAAACTCGTCGCATCGAAGTGCTTCGTGGAGATCCGTTACTGCTTCTACGAGTGGTCTGCGTCTGCAAATCTTCTCTGATACAACTCTCCTGTTTCCTGATATTGCTGCCCGCAAATGCAGAAGATGTAGTTGTAATTCTAGTGCTATTCTTAGTCTCTTCTGGTTCTTCTTCTGTCGGATGACTTCTCTTAATATCACCCGGGGACCTCTTAATTTCTGCGCTCGGTGGCGGTGGCTCTAGTAGAATTTGATCGATCTCATCGACTATCACCTGTTGTCCTCTACTGGACGAAGGGACGCTGCTTCTGGTAGTCGGGAAACAATCTAGTAAACTGTCTTGAGCACCATAGGAGCTTCTGTTTTGCGCATCTTGTATGTCTGTCCGACATGAGTGCTCTCCTTCTTCGATATTGGAAATCCCCGCTTCCAGAAATTGTAGGTGCTGTTCCGAACTTGATTTCACAATCGTGGCAACGCTCACGTCCTTCATTTCGTAGAGCAGGTCACAAGTTGCGTTATTCGCGCTATTCACGTTCATATCGTTATCGTCAACCACTACTCTAGAGGCCACTTTTAACGGCAGATCCATCACCGAAGGAGAATGCGGCATTAGACTCGCGTGGTCATCTACAACATCTTGAGGAGCTGCTGCGCACGTCATTTTGGCATCTAGCATCTCTCCTGCCCTGTTCTTAGTGCCACGTGTTCTTGACGAGGGGTTAGTAACCAAACACTCAAGAACAGGGTCGTTGATGACAGGTTCGCTGTAGTTCTTGTTGGTCTCATCACTTCCCGCCTGCGCTTCCTCTGCAGGAGCACTCTCCTTGTCGCAGGCATGCTCGTTATTTGCTTTGGCACCTACACGACTGTAGAGCTGCTCATCTAGTACACCTGTACGAGGTTTCTCCACAACCTCCAAGAGCCGTTGTTCAGTCTTACGGAATACCAAGTGCGGACTCGTAGATACTAGCCAGCTTCGCATCCGCCGACGATGTTTTTCAGCATCGTGATCGTTGTTGGACTCATAAGACGACCTGCCCTCATCTCCTTGTTCCTGCTCCTCCTGTTGTTCTGTAATAAAACAATCAGCTTCATCACGCGTCTGATCTTCTCCTCTCGTCTCTTGTTCCCCTGAAGGTGATTTGCACGACAACGACTTTCGAAATTCTTCCACTTGTTTGATCCAAGAACTACATCTTAGCTTCATAGCCTTAGCCGCTTCTGTGAGGTCCACCTTCATTTCTCGTGCTCGATGCGCCCAATGACGGGAACAGCAATTCCCATTCTCCTTGTTCAAAGCGATTGCAGACTGATTGGGGATCGCAACCACTGATAAGCAATGAAATAAACCCCCAGGCACCTTCCAACCCTCCTGCGTCGTCCAGGCTGTAGGGTGGAGAGATTCTTCATCGAGGATGGATTTCATCATTTTTATACAGTACAACATCAACTAGTAGAACGAAAGTAAGATGTTACATATCTTCAGTCGGTTTCAGACCCGAAAGATGATTGTTAAAGGTTCATCCTTGTGCGTGAGGCTGCACTCCTTTCAGGGAAGACATGATAGATCATTGCTTCTGTATTGCATTTGAATTCCATTCTAGATCAAGGCAGTTTGAAGAATCGAATAGAATCAACAAGTACAATCATAGAAGTGCGTATGCATTCCTGGTGCGTGCATAAGGCGAAAAGCGTTGTACGGTTGTTGTCCTGGAACCGAAACGACTCGTGGATCATGCGCCAGCCCAGTTGGAACTTTGAAGCCCTCAGGTGTGGTGAATGCTGGATAGTGATAGGATTTTAGTGGTAGCTGCGTTGTGCCGGGATGAGGCGTCTTCCTTCTCTCGATTTTCTGTCTTGCGGAAAAACCATCTTCAGCGTTCTTGTACTGTGAGATTTGGCTGCTTGCTCGATTTCTGCAATCATCACGACTAATTCCTTTGTCCGCTTCTTCTCTCGTAGTCGTGCCAGAACTTCTAGGAGACGTCGGAATAGGAGATAGAAACTTGACAGCCCTATCATGTGGAGCAGAAGGATTACTCTGCAGTAATGACCGCCCTCGTGCTGCATCCTGGTTGAAGATCTTCTCTTGAGAACCGCTAGTACGACCATAAGAGGGGCCGCTCACAGGCGATGGCGGACGCGAGGACCAACGAGGCATTTGCGGTGGCTCTAAGAATGGCGTACTCAACTTGGATGAGATCTTATCTTTAGAATCCATTCGCCTTCTTGTTGAGGACCGTGGCGTGTTCCGAACCATTTCAAGTTGCAAGCCGGTGGTTGACGGCGTCGACCACTTAGCTTCCATTCGCCTTCTTGTTGAGGATCGTGGCGTGTTCCGAACCATTTCAAGTTGCAAGCCGGTAGTTGACGGCGTCGACCACTTAGCAGATGTAGTCGTGAAGCAACTCGATGGTGGACAGAATGAGGAGGGCACACGCGTGCTGGAGGCTGCGGTCTCACGAGGACCTCCCTTATAATTGCTCATCGATGAAGATGAAATCGTTGACGGTAACGGGTTCTTGTACAAACCGTCATACTGAAGATACGTTTTTAGATCACCGGACGATTGATCACCGGATTCATCTGCGGATGCTCGTAGTTGATGCTCCTGCCCATTTGGTTGCTGAGTTGTCTCACGACCTAAAATGCTCTTTTTTCCGCGATCAGCACCATAACCCCAATTTGTATTTTCGTGAACTTCCTTTCTGGTTCTGGATCTGGACTCCACTTCTTCTGAGCGGTTCGTAGTTTCGCGGTCTCGCGGAGTCACCAACGAAACACTTCCGTGGGCAGCGGCAGTTGCGTAGTTTATCTCCTCCATGATGGACGAAAGGATGATAGTCGGGAAAGGAAAACACGAATTATACTCCAGATGAATCAAAAATGCAGTCGTGTTGGCGAGCAAAGAAACTACATGATCGATGATATTATACGCGAAAATAGTTGTACAACTACTTAAACCACTAGATGAAGATAATATGATGATCGTGAGGAAAAAGTGCGCTCGAACAAAAGTCAATGAGGCTATTGATTACGTCGAGCCCTCACAAGCTCTCGTTTGTAGATCGCTTTCCTTCGCGGCGTGGTGTCGGTACAGCTTGGCCCCAGATCGGCGAACACAGATAGGAATCAATCCGGTACCTTCTGCAGAAATGTCGGAAAATAATTTTCTGATCATATTTACATCGAACCAACAAAATGAACTAGTAAGAAGGCAGGCTCTATCGAAGAACATGTCAGTTGACCGTAACCAGGTGTGGTGAGTACAAACATGTCGGTCGTGGTTCAACTACAAGAATTTGCTCTTATATTCTTATACGAAGATGATGATAAATGATCCTGTTTCTCGTCGCAAGTAAGAAATTATTCCTGTTCGACTTCGACCTCACGCACGTGTCTAATGTAATCGATATCCTTGTGGTTATGACGAATGAACAACGACTAAATTCTCTATGTACAGATACCTGTTACAAGCCTGTGCAAATTTGTATGCTCAAATTTAAATTTAAATTTTTGTTTCTTGTTGATTGGTTACCTTATTCACAAGAATCAACAAATTGACTACGTTGTACTAGGAAGTATTATTCACAAGAAGAAAATAGCTACATGTCGGTCCTATAAAGAATGGTGACAAACAACAAACTACCCCAAAGGCGGGTTATGATTTCACTCATGAATAAACCGAAGAGGACGAGTATACTGACAATCGATTCGGTTGCGTTTTAACAGACAAGCAGGAAGAAAGTACTTAGAAGATCCAAAAATATTCCATGCGTACGCAGAAGCGAGAGCATAGAATTGAGACACCATCATCATTGGGATGACGTCATAGATTTAAGTACGTTGTTTTCTCAAAAACACAGACTGATGCAATACGAGATCTAATTCACAGCAAAAACCGATAAAGCAAATCTAAATGATGTGAGCCAGCACCTGGATAGTAGCAAGCCTATGTGTGGAGGTTCGTCCGTTACAATCGGCGGCTAGCTAACCTCTGAAGAGAAAAAAGAGAGTGAGTTTCACAGTTGTCAGAAGGGCTATGGCATCATTTTGCCTGCCATCAGCCGCACTTTAGTGCAGAAAAATGAATAATGTTGTCTTCACTACAGTTGTATGTTGGCTACTTAATTAATATGTTGAGCAACATGTTGTGAAAACAGATTGAATAATGTTTGCGTTTCGCATGACAACACAGGAGTTCTCGTGAAGTTCTCTAGTGGTAGATTAAAAACGAAGTAATCGTACTATATGCACAGATTCAATGTGGTTAAGGCTCTCTTGGACTACCAAACTATGCCGTCGTCGTGTTGATATGACTCATACTTATCTCTAAATTCAGAACTAAAAATGGTTTTCAGACTAGAGATCATGGTGGTTCTACTTTAATATAACAGTATTCTAAGTTAATATAGGTCGAAGGCTCGAAGGAGTACTTGCAAGTTCTGGAATATGAATCACCAGCGACCACCTTGATCTGCGGCATTTCTCCCACCTCCGTAGTTGTTGTTCCATCCACCTTTATAGTTCCTGCTTGTTTTGCCGTAATTGTTGCTCTTGTAGTTGTTCGAATGATGATTGTTGTTGTAGATGCCACTGGACGCAGGAGCACAAGCATTTCCAGCACCAGACGTTGCACGTGCACCAGAACAAGTTGCCATCTGACTCAAAGCAGAAGAACTAGTATTATTTTTGTTTTTGTTGTTGTAACCGCGGGATGGGCCACCTCCTCCATGATTAGAAGCACTACCACATGCTCCAGCAGAACCAGCAGTGGCGGCATTAAAGAACATACTAGACGCATTAGGACAGTTGTTTGATGAAAACAGTAATTTGTCGTTATTTGCCGCCAGCATGAAACCAGCCGCGCGGTGGAGTACACCACGTGCCTCTGGCTTCCACACCACTCGGAGACACTCATTGTACAAAATCGCCAAATCCAGATGTTCAGCACCAGTACTCGTCTGAGCATTGAAGGCGGTGGATGCTTTAGAGGAACTTGATATTATCTTAGACCTTGTTATCCATAAACTCAAGATGTGTAGTCGTTGAAGCGCATCTCTGAAGACCATTCACTTTCCAGTTGAAAATTTACGCAAAAAAATAATTGATGACTGGATTAGATTGTAGGTCGTTTAACTTCACTTACCCCGCAGTTAGATAAGCTAATCATAAACGCACACACTGGAGTGAGGAGGGTGAAGCAAGCCAATCATTACGCAAAAAAATAAGTCAAAGATTCTTCTTGAGATGAATCAATTTTATTTGGGGAAGCCTTAAACGCTCGATTGTTCGAAGCAGTAATTGCTTTAGTTCTGCTGACGAAGATGCGACACAATCGAGCGAGAGTGTCGTATTCTACTCCAGGGCCCTGCGCAAAAGCTTTCACCAGTGTGTCTCGGGCAGCGGTTGCGCGATCGGCCTTTAGCAACCCAGTGGCGAGTGTGCCGTAAGTACGTGCATCGGGTAGTACGCCAGCTGCGAGCATCTGTTCCGGAATCAGAAGAGCTTCTTCGTACCATCGATTGTTCAACAAGGCAGACAAAAGACAGGTGAAAACGTGGTTGTTCAGCTGGATCTTGTACAATCGCGGCCACGCGGCGACCAGATGCAAGGCGTCATCCACACGGTGCAGTCGGCCATACATCTTGATGGCAATTGTCAGAGTGAAATGACTCGGCTCAAAATCAACATTCTGCATCTCCCGGAACAGCTCCAAGGCGAGTTCACAACGCCCATTCTTCACGCAGCCGTCGAGTAGCGTGTTGAAGATCACCTGTTTACGGAAAGATGTAGTTGGATCGATTTACTAGATGGTCGAGAAAAAATGTGCGAGGTTAGTGTCAGTCATAATATTAAAGTCCAGTAGCTACTGGCTGCACTCTGCAGTGCTACACCCGTAACAGAAAGCCCTACAGAAAAGCGACAGAATATCCGGGCCCGCCACCGAGGCGAGCAGAAAAGAAGCACGACGCAGCCCACGACAACACGCAAAGACCGCCATCGCAGCAGCTGCCTGAGTATGGGCAGCGCCCTGAAACCACCACGCGCGCACCTGCGTCCAGCGGTGAGTTTGCGAACTTGTCCCCGCGTCAGTCCCACTTCTGAGGAGCGACGCCGAGCACGTAGCAAATCCCGATGGGGCTAGCCCTAATATTGCCAGGCGCCCGAAAGCCATGCCGCCACGCTTGTCTTCCATCGACGGAAAAACCTCCAGCCTGCCGGGTGTATCCTCCCCAGGCTGGTCTCTCAGCGCTGAAAGCCTTGCACAGAAAAAATGGCCCGCGGCCTTGCATTCTTCTCGGCTCTCTTTTTTTCATGCCTTCGACAATTTGGGGGCGGCGAATCAATTGACGAGGCGAAAAACAAGACGAGGCGCCACAACAAGCTAGCAGCGGGCTCCTGGCTTTGCTTCAGTTCCTGGCTTTGCTCTCGGGCTACAGCTCTACCCCTGTCCCCCCAGCAATGCAAGGGCCTGCGCATAAGAACACACGCCAACATCCTCCACGAGGAAAACGCCAACGGTGTAGCTTGTATGTACCATCTCCAATTTGCGGCGGCCCACAAGTCGCGGCACGGCTGTCACCCAGAACGCGCCCGCCCCTACTTTTCTTGTGGCCCCAATCTTGCCCCCCTTGCAGTCCTATGCTATCCTGTAAAGAATGCAGAAGCGCCGACCGCTGCGAGTCTTATCATGTTCAAACTCGAACCGCGTGAGGTAAGAACGAAATCACAAGCCGGACTCGTGGGCGCAGATTGAGCAAAATAATGTGACGGCTTTTGTCCCGAACTACTTGAGCGAAGGGATGCGAACGCGAGAGCGGGGAGTAGGCCACTCGTCGAGGATGCCCTGGCCGAGGCCTACAAAGCCGCACCATGGTCGTCGCTGCCAGATGCGCTACGAAGCCGCTCGCGTCTTCGAGGATTGGCCTGCGTCGATCGTTTTGGGGCTAGGTAGTCCACAGCCCCCCCGCGGTGGCGAGAGCCGTCACCAATGTCAGAAGCCCCCAGATTGCGCATCTTCTTGCGAAGCTTGGGGCCCCCAATTTTGCAGCGTTGGCGAGACCCACTAAGCCCACTCCTGAGCCCTCTCTCTGCCACAGTTGCGCTGCACGTAGCTACATAAAAGAAGCCGCTAGCCCTTTGCCATGTATCAATCGCAGAGGCGGCTCATTGCGGTGACAAGGCCCGCCCCCTTGCGTGTTTGTCGCCCCTTAAAATGAATGCCAGCGGCTAACTACTTACATCGAAAGCCGTGGCGCACGAGCTTGAGGCGGCGGCCCTTGTGCACGTTGGTGCCCCTTAAAGGCGGCATGGCAGTCTCTAGTAAGAGGGGCGACTTTCTTGAGATCAATGCGAAGCCCTTGAAAGCAAGCCGCCGCCTTGTCTTGGACAGTGAATCTTGTCGCAGTGCGCGCCTTTAGCTTCTGTATGTTCGAGGCCAGCGAGCAGATGTCTCTGCTGGCTTCCCGCTGGTCTTGCTCCTTTTTCAAGGACTCACCAAGCCGAGCACAAGAAGAACGCGAGGAGTGGACGCATCTTCTTGCTCAAGATGGAAGACAGCCACGCAATCGACTTCCCGCCTGGAAACGCCGCGGCTGGTTTTTCGCCCACCTGACGCTGATGCTCGGTTCTCCAGCCTCAACTTTGTGGAGGGAGTTTCTCCGGTCCCGGCTCGGCTTGTTCCAATCTATCACCAGCTTCACTTCGAGGGTGACGCTAAAGGCTTCAAACTGCGTTGCTCGCAATTGGATAGCTGTAAGCGGGTGCTTCGTTTGAAATTGGGGTAGTGACAATGGCAGACTGGAGCCACACAGCAGCCGAAAAAGCTAGGCAGGAGTTAGCCCGTCGGGCTGCTGCTGAGCTCGTGGCACCCTGTAATTCTTGGCCGGGCAGTTGCGCCGCAGATAGCCAGACGAGGGCACGGGCGGCGAAGGCTCCCGCTGTGCATCCTATGCGCACGGCCTCCGCGTGGCCTTGCACCAAACCGCGCGGGCATCGCTGTAGACCTCAAAACCACAGCACCCGAGGAAAAGACACCCATGCCCCCGAATTCTTTCACCCCGTTGCACAAGTCTCCAAACTCTTGGCAAAGGCCAGGCTCCTCGCTTCTGCTAATTTCAGGGCCCGATGGGCACTCACCCGATGCTGACGCCCTCCCGCTCGCGCAGTGGTACATCGAAGCCAGCCAGAGAGTGTGTAATCAGGGCGAGCAAGTAGAAGCACGCACAAGCAATACAAGACATGTAGATCGCAGTTACCTCATTTGGGCGTAAGAGCTGCGAGAAACCAGTGCGGCGGTCGCCTGGGCATACGAAATGTTTGCGGTAAATATCAATCGCATGCTCGACCATGCTCTGGCTCATGTATCCACATCTTAGAAGCTCTAAAATATGCTAGAGATGAGCTGTAATGTATGTCAAAGATGAGAGACCAGACAGCTAGAGTTCTGGCATCACTGCCCGAAGTATCATGATGATCATCAACACGACAAGATATGATATTTGTATAATGCTATGATAGAATTAATTAAGTTCAAGTTTGTGCATAACTTGATCAATGTTCCAAAGGTGATAATGTCCGGCTTGACTCCTCCTCCAGTTTGTAGCATCTCTTCGACCAGTCGTTCGGCTTCGGCCATCATATTCTGCTTATCGCATCGACAGCATGCGTCAATGAGTGTGTTGTAGCTGACTGCATTCATCAGAGATTCTCCGCGCCCGTTGCGTCCATGCTGAGCCGCGAAGCGCAGTGCTTCAGCTGCTCGTCGCTCTAAGGCAAAGCCTTTGAGAAAGGTCGAAAACATGATTCCGTTCATCTCAATCTTCTTCTGTGGAGGTTGCACTACTTGGGACTGCTGCTGTTCATCTGGTCCTCCTCCGGAGGTGGTGCCGGACTTGATGGAGGAGGTCTTTGCAGAAGCATTACTACCTGCCTTCACGACACCACCAGAAGCTGGTGATCCGGTCTGCTGCTCCTCCAGGACACGTAGTGCGTAATCGAGTTCCCCGTTGCTGACACAAGCGTCGATCATACATCCTAGAGTGATTTCATCAGCTACTAGACCGCAGACAGCCGTCATCTCCTGCCATAAGGCCTTGACTCGCTCCACGTCCCTTAAAATGCCCCATCCCTTCAACAACGAACCGTAGGTTGGTACGTTCGGGTAGAGAATCTCACTCGTTTCGAGGATGCGCTCTGTTTTTGAAATTCAATGTGAAAAGTGAGGACATTATTTACAAATATGCAAACACATTCAATCTGTCTCTCCCTCTTACCACCACTTTCATAAACTGTGCTGCTGTCTACTACAAGCATGCACAGAGGGTCTACTGGTCTACTCACACTCAGATTGTGAGACTAAGTAAAACAGTACAGAAAAAAAACAAATTTCGCAGTACGCAGTCTCCCATATTCCTTCGCTCGAATACAGCTGTCGATCGCCGTTTTCAGGAGAAACTCATCACTCCCTATACGGATTTGGTCTAATAACTCGAACGCCAACTGGTTCATTCGTTGCGTTTTTTCATGTTTGTGCCTCGAAACCGTTTTCAGCATTATTGTCACTGAGTAATGATCCACCGCATACTTCTGCCCACACAATCCGTTCCTGACGATGTCCCATGCCTTGTCGTGGGCTCCGATGGAGACTGCAAGGTTAAGGACAGAATTGTAGCTCACTCGATCTGGTACGAACTGCGATCGTGCGCGTAGCTCTTCAATGCAGGCAAAGGCGTCGTCTAACAGCGTTGAGGAGGAGGAGACTTGTTGTTGTTGTTGTTGCTGGTGGTGGTAGTGGTTGTCTTTGTGCAGCGAGGAAGAAGAGGTATTGTTGTTGTGGACGGTTGTGGCCGATGAAAAGGCGGAAGAAGTGAATCCAGTAGCAGCATCATAACCAGCAGCTTGTTCCGAGCTGAACAAAGCAGTTGTAGGCGTGCAAAAGGCTTTCAAGTAGGTATTGTAGGTCACGGAATCACAGAGGTTCTGGCTTTCCATTTCATCCAGTACAGACCGGGCAACTCTGCGACGCAATTCGGTCAAACTACTGCTTTTGTTTCCTTGAAGATGATCTTCATCCGACGATATATATTGTCCATCTCCTACACTCGTCGCGCAACCCGCGGCTCCCAAGTCGTCCATGGAAGTGCATGACACCACCGCATCCAGTAACGAGTTGTAAGCTGGTCGAATCAAGTTGTTGATATACTCGGCTGTAGTTGTTGTTGAACTGAAGGCTTTGTTCAACATCTCACTGCTCGGCTCATCGGCACCACAGATAGTGTTGACTACTGCTGCTCCTCCAGCAACGGCTTTCGCCGCAATACTTGCTCGCAGCATCGCAACCACATCCCGAGCCTTCCCAATCTTGCCCATCTTACCATAGCAACGGATCATAGCCATGTAATCCTGGATATCAATGTCCTGCGTTGCGACCTGCTCATTCTGACACTGACCGCCTTCTCCACACGATGTCGTTGGGTGGTCGTTCTCTTGTACATCAACAATTGCTGGTGTACTACTAGATGGTGGTGTACTACTAGATGGTGGTGTACTTCCGTGTTGTTGTTCATCCGGTGCAATTGCAAGTGCAGCACCTTCTTGAGCCGCACCTTGTTGAGCAGAGACGCAAAGCTCTTTCCTCCCCTGTTCTTCCTCCGTACTCACTTTGATGTCAGCACTGGAGTCGTTCTTTGTGGCAGATCCAAGTACAGAACTCCCCGTTTCTTCCTCAAAATTCGTCTTTGTCTCGAGAAGTACACTCGCTCCTTCCAAAGGTGCACACGCTTGTCCTTTATTCTCCAAAATAGAGAGAAAGATCTCCTCTGCCGCATCCAATCTCCCACTCTCGACACAGCACTTCAGCACACAACCTAATTCCGCCTTGCTCACCTCAGAGGTGTCGCGCTCCAACGATGTCCTTGATGCGTTCGTACTACCTCCAGCAGCAGCAGAACTTCCTTGATTTTTTTCCTCGGTCGATTATTAGCGCCTATGACGAACCCGCTTATCTGGAATCATACACGAAGTTTCGTCTTTTCAGAAATAAATAAGCATCAACATCATGAACATCTTCAAGTTTAGATAAAGAAGTAGGGCTTCAAGTAAACGAATAGTAAATTGCCGTAACGAAATAAAAGATCACAGGCTTGCGACCACATTTGCCACTTGCAGTAAAGCTGCATCATACTCTTCTTCAGAGCCGCCCCCAATGCAGGTTTGCTTCTGGAGTAGAAGTACTCCGCCAATCGCAGTTGGCGTTGTTCAGCGCAAATCGCCAAGAGGTCACCCATTTGACCTAAAATAGTAGCTTTTACACTGTAGTTCGACTTTGAGTCGTCGTCCTCGACGTCCAATTCTTCCACAATTTTTCTTTCGCATTGGCTATAGTACGTTTCAAACAAGGACTTGATTTCCTCTTGGTCCTGCATCGTCGAGTGAGCCGGTTTCGCCGTGGTTTGGTTCGGATGAAGCTCCCTTACACTGGCTGCGAGTCGAGCAAACAAGGTCGCCGGTGATGTAATAACTGCAACAAGTGGATTTTCAGACGCTGTAGTACTCTCGCCACCCATGCTTTGTAGCACGTGTAGTTGAGCACCGTCAAGAGCAGGGGTCGAGGTCGAGAGGTGCTGTCTAGATGAGGTGCTGTTAAATGCACACTGCTGTTGAGAAGTTGATGTTACCCTATAAGAAGTGGATCCTAGCTGTTGTTGTTGACGACCACCTCCGTCCCCCTCCATCTCTTCCTCCTCTGCAAAAGACTTTAGCAGTTCGCGAGCCGTGCCAGAACGCCCCATCCAGTCGCGCTGTGCTCCTCTTCGATTTTTGTTTTTCTTCCTATCGAAAGCTCCTCCAGCAGATGATCCACCTTTACTATGGCCAAGAAAATGATGATTCCCTTGCGTCCAACATACCTGGTGCTCAAGAAGATCCTGGTGGACATTCACGGCCGCACCAGTAGCACAACTTCGCATTGAGTTGCTCATTATATTCTCCCTCGCATGGTTGTACAACATGTAATCAGCATTATTAAGAGACGTCTGCTTCTCCGTGGGTGGACCGACTTGATCCGCGTGCTCTGCCAATTCCATCAGATCACGGTCAGACTCTGGCGGTGGCGTAGTCGCTGTGCTACTGGCAGTACTGCTTGCTGTTGTTGGCGTGTACATCATTGATACTCGCTCGGGACTCGTCCCTGTGCTTCCGTTACTAGAAGAGTCTCCTCCTTCGCTGTAAAACCAAGCGGGATTGCTCTTTTTACTTTTTTCACATCCACTACTAGTTGCTTGTTTCCCGGATGCTCCGACATGGTGATCATGCTGAGTAGATCGTAGTTCATTATCACAGGAGGAGCGCTCAATTGTAGAAGCAGAGTTGGTGTAGGCGCCAGTCGTTCTCGGGGTCTTCTTGTGAAGAATAGGCGGCAGTGGAGGCGGGGGCGCTGGAAGTTCTTCTGCTCCTGCAGGAGCTTCATGTTCGACATAGCGACCTGTTGTGGTTCCTCTTTGTGAATCAACAGGACCTGTGAGAGGAGCTACTGTACATGTAGAAGTTGCGGTAAGAGTCCCTTCAGTCTTATGTTGTCCCTCTGTCGCCGGGGCGCCACCACTTCCGCTCAACGCTGCATCATGTTCAGCTAGCATGCTGGCGCAGTAATGCATCTGCGCGGCCCACAGCTGTTGTTGCTCTGCTGCAACTGCAGCGAAGTCTTGCATGTAGCTCGCCCACGACGCAGCCGCCAACTTTGGCACGGCCACCTCCTCACCTGGCAGTGATGAACATGAAGCAACATCCTGCACATGCTCAGTAGAAGTTCTTGTAGTACTTTGATGAAGATCTACATGCTGATGTTGAAGATGATGTTGTTGGTGAGCGTTTTGACCTTCAACAATGTTGATGTTCTCACCTTGTTCCGTTTCTCCATCATGGTCAATTTGTCGCGATTGCACTGCAGTAAGTTCACTTTTCAATCTACCAAGCATTTCCCTAACCGCAGCATCGTCCTCACCATTGTGTAGCATTCCTTGATCGTGGTGTTCATCTTTGTCTCCGAAAGTTGTAGGGAAAGTAGATCCGCTTCCATCTGTTGTAGTTGTACCAAAGGAGCCATGATCATTCACATTTCCCAGCCAAGAGGCGAAGTAATCTGCTGCTTTGATATTGTATCCAGCAGTGTTGTTGTCGTAGTGGTCATAGGACGAAACGTAGGACGCAGATCCGGCGGCCGCATGATAGGCAGTCGGTGGCAGTGGCGGAGGTGGTGGTGGTGGCGGCACTTTATGCTGCTGAGTGCTTGATGAAGATGTAGTAGAGCAACTGCGTGTAACAGCTCGGTTGCTCCCAGTTGATGTTGCATTGGCTCGCTTCCCCTTTTGATTTCCACCACCCTTAGAACTGCTTCCACGCGGCATTCTCCCGTTATTTCCTCCTGAAGATGTCCCATTATTGTAGGAGGATTTGCTTGACGAGGATTTGCAGCTTTGTTGAGCAGTGCTAGACCCCCTTTTGCCACCTTTTGATGAAGAAGTTCTCATCGAGGTTTTCTGCCTACGGTCCTGATCTACAATACCAGTACCAGCAGATCCACTCTGATTAGGAAATCGACCATAGCGCCAAGAACTCCCATCTTCATACCCGTAAGTGCTGTGAAGATTCACATGTTGTTGATGGTGTAAAGCTTCATCTTCTGCTCCATTGCCTTCGTTAAAATTGTTGACATTGATAATTGCAGCTCCAGGTTGAAGAAAGTAGTTGCCATAGTCTGTTGATTGCCACACTTCATTCTCGTCAATGTACGAACTACCTTCACGACCTGCTTCAGTTGTTGTACCTGGAGGCTTCATTGACGCATCAAGAACCTCCTCGTCGATATTAGAACTAGAAACACCTCCTGATGTTGGGAAAGACTCGCCATAGCCCAAATTTTTGTAAGCGTTGTTTCTCCACCAAGTGGCTGCGGTCTCCTCTTCTCTAGTAGTTGTCCGTGGTAGCGACTGGTGTTCGGAAGCAACGACTACTCTATTTTGCTCCACGACAGAGGAATCCTCTGCGTCAGCTAGTTCTTGTACATCTGTTTTATCGACAGAGGAATCCTCTGGGTCAGCTAGTTCTTGTACATCTGTTTTATCGACAGAGGAATCCTCTGCGTCAGCTAGTTCTTGTACATCTGTTTTATCGACAGAGGAATCCTCTGCGTCAGCTAGTTCTTGTACATCTGTTTTATCTTCCTTTCCTTGCACGTTGTTGACATCAGGAGTGCCTTTGATTTCCGCCGTGCTAGGAGTGGAGATAGCCTGCTCGTCAATTTGTTCCGAACAAGTGCCTCCCAAAATGTTGCTGTTAGAAATATCTGTGTTCTTAGTGTTCATCTTATGACTTGGGCGGGTATTGATCTCCTTCGTCACACTGCAGTCGACATTTTTATGATCAGGTGCAGCAGGAGAATTGTTGCTGTTCAGCATATCCGGTGGATCCAAAACGAGTGCACCACCACTAGTGCCTTCGACCAAGTGCTCATCAATCGGAATCGAACCCTTTCCATCTCTTCCTTGTTGATCATCTTCTTGAGGATTCTCAATCTTGATTGTCGACGTAGTAGAGCAAGCGCCGCTCGTCGCGTTCACCGGTGTAGAGATCGGTGTGGAGATTGGAGTGTCAAACACGAGATCGGGTCTCCTTTTCTTCTTTTTCTTCGACTTAGTAGCCCCCTTAGTTATAATGTTGGCATCCTGCTCCGAAGTAGATGTTGAAGTGGTCGTGGTTGAAAGAGGTGCTCCTGGAATCGTCGTAGTTGTAGTACTAGTAGTGCCAAGAACCGCTACACCGTTGCTGAGCTTCACTTGCTTGTTCGTCTGCTTCTTGATGCTGTGTAACTTTACACCTCCTGCGCTCTTCTTGAAGACTGATTCCTTGTTTCTCTTGTTACCCTTGACTTCGACTACCTCGTCCTCGCCTGTCCCACCTCCAAAGGACTTCAGAACGGCACTACGCAAAACCTGAAACATCGTGTTGGACCACCTCTACTGCTTTATTTCTGCTCTCCTTTCTTGTACTGCAAACAATATCTACAACTACAACTTCTTCTCTCTTGAACTACTTATAAGTCAAGTACTCTCGACCCTCGTCCTCTACAACAGAGTAGGTGGATGAACATATTATGGATCCATTATTATTTTACACAATTAGTTCTTGTTTTTTTCGTCGAAGCGACTGCGTCTCCTGTCATGTACACATTGTTCTATCTCTAAGAAACGTCAGAGACTTGAGCAGGCATCACAATCAGCATTGCTCACCCACACAATGAGGGTGCATTTCTCACCGACATGGCCAATCTCAATTGCTCTCCAGTTACCAGAAGGAACACGAATCGGCGATGTCCAGAAGTCATTGAAGTTTACGTTTCTATTACAAGTTGAGGAAAATTTCGCAACATATATTTATACTTTGGATCATACTGTCGGAAAGCAAGTTCAAAGTTACAGCATACACCCGCAGGGCAACTTCTATAGGCCCCTACAAATCGCAGAGCGTGTGCCCATTCACTTCCACATCGTACAAAAACTATAACAGAGCAGGAAACCTATGCTACGTGCAATGAATTACTAACCTTGATGAGAAGAGGCACAACAAAGGGTGTTAATGTGGAAGACCGAGCAGTAGTAATACGAGATTGAAGTTCCTACAACGAGAAGAAGACCAGTCACCTCCGTCTTTGCGTCTACTCTTGTTCTTGTAGTACTTATACAACGAGAAGAAGACCAGTCCTCTTCGTCTTTGGCTTTGCGTCTACTCTTGTAGTACTTACAATACAATGCAACTAATCTCGCGCAGTTTTCAGTGCACACTGCCCCGCGGCGTCATAGTGTTTCGTCATGATGCTTACTCACATAGGTTTTGACTAAACTAACAAACGGACTAGATTAAGGAGAATGCTTCTGACTTCCAACGTCATCAACAGGGACTATCCTACGCCATCAGTACACAGGGCCTCCGTCATCATCAGCTCCCAACCAGTTCCACAAAACGAAGACCGCAACGCCCAATCCGCCAAGCATCAGAGTATGAACAAAGAAGCATCAGAGTCTCTGTCTCGGAGTCTGCGTGTAGCTTGATGCGTGTCCAATTCACGAAGATTTTAAGTATAGGTACTACTGTTTCCAATTCTTGCGAACAGCTGGAAATGTACTTCTCACGAGTTGTTGTAGAAGATAAGTTAGTATACAGAGGATCATATTATGCATAGGGAGCGAAAGAATCTTCACTCCGAGAGATGTTCTTTGGTTCATAAAAAAACAGATTGAAGCCCTCGCTCGGTGCCATTGCAAGGGCCTTTTTCTTCGCTGCGACACTGGCCATGAAAAGAAGAGAGGAGTAGGTGTGCCTCCTTTGATGCTGTAGTAAAACTATGTGACTATCTTTTTTGAAAATACGAACATCAAAAAATGATATGCTAGATTGTGAAGAAATACAAATTAGTTTGAACATCAGAAAATAATTGGGAAGGGACTAGATTTTTGACTGACTAAGGACAAAGCATAGCCTTCTTGCCAGTAGTATGATAGCCAAGACCACGAGGTAACGAATGAAATAGATCTCGAATATAAAAATGTAGTTCAAGAACAGGAAGCTGGATTTTCTAATATCTATTTCTTCATATTATGGTGACAGTTAGCCAATCTATCATGTGAAGAATCGTAACAGTAAAATTCGCTACGGAAACAGCGAGAGTTGTGGTAATCGTGGTGCTGGTCACGGTTGAAGTTGTGGTTGTGGTGGAACTAGTCTTGGTCGTCGTTGTTTCCGTTGACGTCGTTGTTTTCGTAGTCGTGATTACTTAAAAAAGGTAGTTATAGTCTTTCACTATCTGTGGTTGAGTGAGTTGCTTCCCTTTCCGCCCTTGATTTTCTCCTCTTTACAAGGAAGACTTGTTCACTCAGGGGGATACGTGATCAAAGGAATCCGCGACCCAGCAAGTTTGAAAGTATTAAAAGAAAGTGATCTGGCTCAGTCAATGGCATAGTGATTGAACCAAGCGGGCCTTGTTCACTCAGTGGGAACTCACACATGGGATAGTGATATAGGTGCTAGCCTTAAGTAACGGTTGTCGTGTGCGTCTTGGTCGTTGTTGTACTTGTGCTTGTGCTGGATTGGACACAACAACTACTCCGATCTTCGCGATCAAGCTCTTAGAAGGATTCGCGAGGAGCTGTACTAGTAGTTCTATAACTAGGCGTGAGAAATAATGAAGTGCCAGGACGATCTAGATCAATCACAATAACGAGTTAAGCGTGGGATAAGTGCCAGAGTGATCAATTAGTACATCGGATTGGGGGACTCACCTACGAAGCACCAGGGAAAACTACTATCCTACAAGAATTACAATAACTTTTAAAGGATCTTGCTCGCAGACTCCTGCGTCTTCAAATGAACCTCCAGCCTTAAGGAGTGCACACGTTGCCAGGGCATTTTCTATCGCGTAGGCCAGCTGCTGGATGCCATCCCATATAGTCGTTGGAGCTACAGTAACTAAAGCTCCACTCCTTTGCCGCCGCACAATCAAGAGCTGGAGACAAACACAAAGCGAAGAGCTGGAGAGTATGAAGAAAGGAGATGAGGATTTGAAAGACAGTATCAAAGGAGTGACAGGAGGTTCTTAGGTTACAGGTACTTAAATTATGGATCCTGCAGAATGAGGAGCCCCCGACTACAGCGCGGAATATCTGATACAAATTAATATGACGTCATGAAATAAGAGACGCCGAAAAAAGTAGGAGCCCTGAATTCTGTTGAGTACTTCTGCCACTTCTGCCCACACCTCGCAGCCAAAAAATGAGAGAACTAAAATTCCTCTCAATACCATGTACTACCAATACTAACTTGAAGTTGAAGCGATGAAAAAATCGTGCACGACATTCTACTTCTGCATAAACAGCGGATCAGTACACTTATTTCTACTTCTCTCGATTATAATCACCAGAGGTCTAATACGAGCAAGAGCATCAGAGGTCTAATACGAGCTCGATGTAATAAATTTAGACAGTTCATTCTTCATAAATCTTTGCATTTTCAGATGCGTAGCATTTTCCACCGGTAATCATGGTCGCGGCACTACCAGGTTTGGACGCCGTGAGCTCGACCCCCTGATACTTTGCATCGCTAGCGGGATTGTCACGATCGATCGCACAGCCTACATTTAGCACATGCGTCCCGGGATCGCAGTCTATCGTATGTGACTTCGTGTTTGATTCGACCCTCTTAGACAAGGAAGGTGCTTCTTAGTCAATTTCATTATCCTTTGCTGCGTGCCACGACAGGGAAGGTCCTTCTGCTGCTCCGACCTCCTTGAAGTAGGAGTTCCTCCTAGATATTGTCAACTAGCCTTGTTTGCTTTCTACTACAGCACATCGCAACCCTTATTGGAGCTCTCCATATCAAGTCACTCTTCTCCTGCATCCTTGATGAAGACAGATGAGTATCACCAGGAGCAAGAAGAAGAGCCTTCCTATATAACAGCCCTCCACCCCTGGAACATATTTAAATATAAGCCTCGATTCTTTTCAAGGATGCTTTCAAAGATGAACAGGCAGGAGCTAAATCTACTCTACTAGTACTAGCCATCATCATCAGTGTACCTCAAATGATCATCCTCAATCATCGGTGAGATGAAACCACTAGGGAACCTACTAGCTACGTAGTACAAGCCTTAATACTCCCTTGTTTATAATACACGTATCGCCACAAGTCGCTGGCTGAGCCAATGCAGAAGACGCGCCCTTTAACGTCACCAGTGTTAAAGGTAGTTTTTCCCTGCTATCTGATGTGATAGTCGTATCCACCTTTCCTGTATAATAGTAAGACGAGCCTAGGACTTTCTAAGCTCAGTATTTCGGAGGAGTAAGAATGTAGCAAGGACATCAGTCAAGTCTCTGAGATTTCCTGTATAGCAGTTGTTTCTAAAACCACGTGGATAATTCTCCCCCATAATCCTCGTCAACGTCCCCGGGGAGTGGGTTTCCCTTCCTTGTTCCCTCAAGATGATCGCCTAGACTGACCTCTAAGGGGAAGACTCCACTCAGCATAGCCCAGATTTCAAAGGGGACCCCACTCAGCATAGCAGCCCAGATGGGATAGAAGGGACGACGATGATGTTAGTCGATTCGGGTTGGGCCTACGACTTCCCTGGGTCTCCTCTGAGTTCGACGAATTTCTCTGATGTTGAAGCTGTGAAGGTGATCCATGGGATAGTGATATGCTAGACTTAACCTTGGAGCCCTTGGGTGTCCCGAACTGGCAAATCCACTTCGTCGGGTCATCTGGATCCCGAAAGGACCCCCCGAGAGAACCTTTCAGGTCACCATCGGTCCGGAATTGGCAGCCCCCCGCGATCGCTCTCGTTCCGGTGGGGCATGGCGTCGATAGCTCGTGAGTGCCAGATGGAATCTATGAAAGGAAAAAGCTGCATGATACTCGTCATTCAGTACGCAAGAAAAGACGCAACTTCGTACTACGCAGAAACTTAGATGAACCTAGGCGTACCTGTGCAGTTCCCTCTTCTTGAGGTGGATCGGTTACTTCCTACTTAGAACTACGTCTCTGGTTAGAACGTATCTCCTGTATTTCCATCTTCTTGAGGATCCATGAGCGCAGTTTTTCCTGTCTGACCTTATGGGTCTGTCATGTCATGTCATGTCATGGTGCCTCTTATGTAGCTATTAGCGTCTACTTACTTGTGAGGCCAGCCAGTAGAGAAGTACCTCCGCAATTACTTGTTTAGAAGTTACAGATCAGCCGGACCTTCTCTTGACCTGTCGCCAGACCAGTCCACTTGCCACTACACCAGCTGCCTGCCAGCAGCTGCCTCAACTTAAACTAGCCTTAGTTAACTACGTATCTACCTAACCTATACTTAGCCCTACTTAACTACCATATTAAAATTTTTTTTTTTGCCTATGCCCATGATGATGATGAGGTTTTTCCAAGCAATAAGAAGTACCTCCGGAATCATTTGTTGAGAAGTTAGAGGCACTATTACTACAGGCACTACTCTTCCTAGAATCGGGTCCATACTATTCCAGGCCATCTGACCTGGATCGCCAGCCATCTGGAGCTGGAACCGCAGCTGGATCGTATCCCACCATGTCAGAGGCTCATCCTTGTTCATATCGTTACACGACGAATAGCTCCAAAACCGGAGGTCTCCATCTGGATTGTCGAGCCCGCCAACTGGCCATTGGTATTGAAGCCATTGGCGTTGCAAGTTTTAGAGGGTGGCACCCTACACCAACCCTACCCCTGAGATCCATCTCGGATCTCTTTTCCTCTTATGGGACAGCTTCGAAATGCTTCTGGAGATGGACAATCATTAGGGGAAGCCTTAAAAGTAGTTGTTCTGGTTCTTTGCCGTGCAAAAGGTTCCCACGAGAAAGCCCACATTGATTCCAGAAATCATTTCACGATTCTGATATTATCGCTAGTCTTTCACTATTCCTGGCTGAGTGAGATGCCCCGCGTCCCCTTTGATTTATTCCCCTGTAAATCGAGGGGAGCGCCACTCGGCATCTCACTCAACCAGGGGTACTGAAAAATTAGCCTTAATGATAGCATTTGACTCCTGCCGTGTCACTGGTTTCCTCCCCAAAACAAGTTCCTAAATGAAAGGATCATATCGTTTTTCTTCTTTCCATCATCCTTCTTGATAAAACCATCTCTTCTCAGCTGTTGGGTCCTTTCCCTTGTTGATGATGAGAGAGTCCTTCTCCTTACCATCAATATACCTATAGCAAAGGATGTTGGTGGAAAAAGGGACTTGAACTTCAAATTCATATTCTGGCGAGTACTCGGTTGCGTGCGTCTGCTCTTCTACGCGATGAGCTGTAAACGGCGCGTTTCCCCAGTAGAAAGAATCAAAAACGCTTTTATCTACACCAGGGATCACCACATCGGATTGGAGCACCCCTTCGGACGATTGGATGAAGTCAGTTGCACTAGAAGGATGATGAAGCTGCACCATATCGGATTCTTGCTGGAGGATGAAGTCAGAAGAAGGTGTACTTGTTCCAAACGGATCATGAATTCGAGGACCACCTTGAGCAGCTTCTAGTTCATATGCAGACGATGAGATGTTCTTCCTAGTCGTCCAGGAGTGGTCTCCTCTCGTACTTTGCAGAACGACTCTATCTCTCTGATGGTCGTGGTCGTGAGAGGCGGAGAGATCCGGAGATGATGCTGAAACTTCTTTGCTCGACTCCTGTTTCGACCCTCGTCCAGAAGAATTCTGTGTGCTGGCACGACCTGTGGGAGTTGGAGCATCCTCGTGGTTCTTGAGAAAGATTGCAGGATCTTGCTCCTCCAGGCCTATTGACTCTGCTTCTGCATCTTGCAGACCCTCGACAGAAGGAGCTAGCACTTTTTCCACACTCTGCGTTGCCGAGCTCGTCTCTTCTGTTCTCAGCAAGGCTGGTTGAGATTGTTCATCCTCTACCCGTCCTCGTGTTCTAGTACCAGAAGATGAAGAGACTTGTTCAGCTCTCATTCTACCTCGTCTTCGAGTCGCCGAAGAGCCAGACGAGTCGCCTGAATCTTCATCTTCCTCCTCTTCCGGTCTTTGAGATCTTCCGGTGCTGCCAGCTATACTACTGCTCGACACTGGATCTGAAAGTACTTCCCGTCCCGACGTGGCAGCAACATCGTGCGTCACGACGTATGATCTCAAAAGTCTTTCATGTTGTTCGAGGCACAACCCCAATCTTTCTCCATCCTGCAGTGGCAGCAGACCCAACCAAGAGAGGCCTCTCATTCTGCTCTCCTGCAACGTTTCCGCAGCGGGAAAATCTCCTGCGGCAGCTATGATCCATGCGAGTAGCTAGGAGGAAAAACAGTACTTATAAGTGGAAGCAACGTCGAGTGCCGCAACATCTTATCGCTGGTCATACTTTTGCGGACCCAGTATGATATTGATCAATTTTTGTTCAGCCGGTAGAATAAGAATTAACTATAATGCACGATGAAAGCTCTTGAATCAGATCATTGCTAGGCACAAGTTAACCGTGCTTCATCCCCTACAAGCGTGTTTCTCCTACGAATATCTTAGACGACCAGAGTTATGCGTACGAAACACGCCCCCTCCTACCTCTATTACTGCATTTTTTTTCCACAAGAATAGGAGACACCGATGATCAACAAGCTCCTGCGGAAACCTACGCTTGCTAAGCACTCCTTAGTAACATCGGCAAAGCCAGGACGCACCTCATTTCTAATCGTATCTGCTCCAAATATTTTTTTCATTCAAGGGTTTTAGACATCAACAGAAGTTCTGCATTTTTTACGATACTGGCATCGGTGTGAGTGTCATCACTAAGGCATTCACGAGGTAAGCTAACTTTTTTTGCTGAGAATCCGATTCCCTGGCTATTCGTTCCTTAATGAAGTTGGATGTATCCTAGTAAGTAGTACGTAGAAAACATGATATTTGAGAAGTTTCGCATTTAAATCCTTATTGTCAGTCATTCATGAGTAAGCAAATATAGCTGAGGTATCTTTCCGTTCTAGGGTTGTGTTAGCTCTTTTTCAAGCCACAGACAGTACTTGGAACCTATGAAGTAATGTAGGACCAGAATATTTTTTCAATTTCATTAGGGGCATGATCAGCGATACGAATACGTGCGGGAAATATATTTAAGCTAAGAAAGTTGTGCTACTACAACAATCAACTTGAGTAGAAGTTACACCTCATAACATCTTTAAACACCAACAAGCATAACTCCGATAGATATGGAGGGGCCACTCAGCATGCAGGGTCTCCTTGAGGCTCATTTACCATTTTATGCGTTTCAGTCTTGTCTTTCGTCTATGTTAGTCATTAGTATCCTTGTAATCTTTTTCAGTCTGAATATCAATCCAACACGAACCCCTTCAGGACATTATCGTCTACCTAGTGTAAATGTAGAAGTTGTCAAGATGAAATCATACTATGCAGCTATCACTGTAATCTGCTCTGTGAATCTGGTGTTGCAACATGATGAATTTAAGAATATGACTATTGTTCGAGTATCGTAGTAAATTGTCACCTTTTTTTTCATTTTAGGTCATCAAATGCTGGTTTTTCATAGTGGTCTAATTCTATCAATTTTCTTGCTTCAGTGTTAACACAACGTTCTTATCTTTGAGCACGAAGTAAAGTGTATTGCAGTTTGGTATCGCTTGAAAATGAGTAACATGTTCGACGCATGACATCCTTCTAGTATAGTCAATCATTAAGGTCATTTTTCAGTTCTTAGATAAATCTTGCGGTCGTTTATTTCCACCATATGGTTGTTATTTGAGTTCAATCAATGCCAATCTCTAGTCTTTGTCAGTGAGTGTAAATCAATCGGTACTACGAAAATATCAGCAGTATGCACTACATGAGGTAACAGAGTGAACTGCAACAATGAAAACAGAAACTAAGTGAGAAATTGTACTGTTGATAGATGAGATATTCTTCATGTCCACTTTCCTTGAACGAAGCTACTATTGTTCCGTCATATAATTGCTTCTCAGTATAGCTAAGAGCGTCTAGAAAAGTCCAGACTCGGGGTCAAACTGGTGATCAAATTCGCCAGCCTCAGCTTGTCCGCGGCTGCTTCGTCGTCTAGAAGATCGAGGGCTCGATCCCGATCCAAGGCGATGCTCGGATCGGCTCTTCTTCTTTTTCATGATTAGAGATGGGCATTGGTTACTGGTATGTTGATGGCGGAACAAAGATTAGTTACGTCGACGTTGGTCCTTCAAGATGAGCGGAAAGTATGGAATTTCGAAAGCCTGGGGGAAACTAACATACTGCAATATTAAAGATTATGTATGAGCCTTAACTTTCTATTCTCCCCATGATAGTGATCCCCACCAGCACTCGATGCGGATGAGCCCCGCCTCGATGCCGTCTCCTTATCCAGTTGCGCTACTTGATGCTCGATCGACATCAGATTATGGGTGTCGTGAGACTGTTGAGCAGCTGGAAAGTGGTCAACAATACGACTACGGCGCCGTCCTCCAGCACTAGCGCCAGCTGCACTCGAAGTTAGGCTCTCTCCCGTTGCCGGTCGGCTCGATCCTGAGCCAAGACGACGCGACTCCTTCGATGAACCTCGCTCTTCGATGTGCTCTTGCGAAGCAGGCAACCACGAAGAGGAACCATTGTAAGGCCCGCCTTGCATTTGGAGGAAGCCACCTTGTTGCTGGAAAGCAGACACTCCACCGCCACTCATTCCACCGCCACTACCGGCTGTCGTGCCAGGATGTCCTCCAGGTGCGGAGACGCCACCACCTCCAGAGGACACTTCTCCACCTCCAGCCGGACTTCCATGCTGCTCCGGTACGAAAAAGAGTGATCCACTCGCTGCTCCCCTTGGCGACGGCCCGCCAACGGTTCCCGGTCTACTGCCCATATGTGTGCCTACAGTGCCAGGTCGACTGCCCATCCCGCCAACGATCGAAGCAAAATCATCACTACCTGCAGCAGAGCTATTCGGCCGGGTTGTGCCGACATCATGGTCATCAGATGCGGCAAAAAGGGACGTCTCTCCCCCCCACACTGTGGGCATATTGTTCTGCAAGATAAACATATCATCCTCCTCAAACTCATCATCCGAATAGTGCTCCTCTTCTGCGAATCATTAGCGGAGAGAAAAACGAATGACCATGATTTATGTAAAAAGTGTAGTGATTGTGATTGTAAAATCAACATGTTGCTAAGTAGCTATTTCTACTTGTGGGTCGACTCTGAAGAAAAGCCGTAATCTTGCGCAGCTTCTTCTGCGGCTGCACCAGTGCCAGGCCTTGAGGATGCTGCAGCTTCGGGCCTTATTCCCGCTTCAGACTCAGGACGCGGCTGTATTGGGAGTTGATTGATTGTACGGATGAGTCGGGAATGGACGTAGGATAAAAGCAAAGTGATGCTAGTTGCAGATTTTCGGCTTCATCCTTTACCCATTATGGTATCTAGGACTATTCTAACAAGCTGATATTGATTTTGTCAACATGAAAATCAAAATCATTAAGTATCCAAGATTTGTATATGAAGAGTAGTACCACAACTTGTTGCCCTCCTACAACTGGTCCACCTCTGGACTCACCTCTAGACATCTGTAGTTGTCGGCGGGAAGATTCTCTACTATCAAGCCTCCCCCCACGTGAGTCGCCTCTCGATTCCACGCCAGGCCTTCCGCCTCTTCCAGCTCCACCATACGGACCACTGCCTCCTCTCGAAGGCGGATGACCGCCTCGTGAAGGTGGACCTTGCTGCGATCGAGATGTTGCCCCTCCCATCGCAGCTCCTGGTGCACCGGCGGAGGATACCACGACTAGACCTCCTCCAGCAGCTGCTAGATTTTCTCGAGAGTTTTGATTTGGTCTTCGGTGAGCTCCTCCTGGTCCACCTGCGCTGCCAGGCACTGGGCTAGCTGAATCTGCCGGTGAAGCAAAGATCTCATTCTCAGCTACAGTGGGAAACGGAAAGTGTTCGATAGGTCCTCCTCCAGAAGGCGGCCCGCGCTTGCTTCCTGAAGATCCCGCACTGCGCAGTCCGCTCGAATAAGCTAAACCGCCGGCTGCCGCTGAAGACATACGCGTTGAGGGCTTGGAGTAGGCGTGATAGCCTTCTTCTGCGCCGCCGGGAGTGGTCAGTTTCAGTCTAGCAGGGTCGTCATCTAAAGGGGTCTGGTCGATTTTAGAAGAGACTAGTACAGGATCTTGATCTTCATCGACTTCTTCATCATCGAATTCATCTTCCTCGTATTCCTGATCCTCTGTAGCTTTATTTTTCGAGGCTTCGACATCTACTTGTCGAGAAGATGTGATGTTCATGTTACAACTCTTTTTCGTAGTACAACTAGTTTCTTCAGCCGATGACGATTGAGCGTTTTCGTGTGGTCGTGGAGGACGCTTTTTTGCAGCAGCACCTTTTGGCGAGGATGACGGCACGGCCTGTTGGTGCGCAGCTTTGTACACTGCTGCAGTTCGCTCTGCTGGCGGTAAAGTTTTCTTCTTTTTCTTCATATCTTTTCTCACGTCTTTCTCCAACTTGTCCAGAGGTCCTCGACTCTGGAGGCTTGTAATAGAGTCTCCCGCGGCACCGGCATCCCCTGATGCTAATGCTCCATTCTCAGCGTCTGACGCTGAGATAGAGGATGCCCCAACTATGCCTTCTCCGTCACTCGCAGAAGACGCACTCGCCGATGAACCCTTAGGCTTCTTCAAAATCTTCATCTGGTCGAGTGAGTAAGGCGACGGTGCAGGTGGTAGCTTGTTGCTAGACGCAGCGGCTGCGCGAGTCGTTGCAGCAGCCATCAGCTTCTTGTCCTTTTGGTCTCTGAGCGTCGCGTGCTTGGTTGCATCAGCATAGATACTGCCCAACTCTTGCCGCACGCGCTCCTCCTCGCTGCTCGCGGCAGCTGAGCCACCACCTCCACCTGCTGCGGTTGTGGCGCCACTTGTTCGGAGGACTGCTGGGGGAAGCTGATTTGACCTTCCATCCTTCTCTGAACCTTTCGCACCGCTCTTTCCAACTGTAGAGGTTTTCTTTCCGCCATTTGCGCCTCCAGCTTCCCCAGCACGTCCTCTTCCAGCGCCAGGCTTTCCCATAGCACCAGCACCAGCACTCTGCTGCGTCGTCGCACCTGGAGCAAAACCGTCCTGATCTAGGAACAAAACTTCGATCTTGCCGTATGGACTTGCAGCTACACGGCTAGGATTGATGTAGCTGTCTTTGGACCGAGGACGCGAATCCGTATTGGTCGTGTTCCCTGTCGCAGATCCACTAGAACCACTACGGACGTTGTAGTCCCAATTAAGCGCTAGGGGCTCGTGTTCGCCTTTAGCCCTGGCTGATCCAGACGAAGACGCACGCGCTCCACCTACAACCGGAGCACTGGCTCCTCCTGCGGACGAGCAGGATCGATCTCCTCCTGTAGACGAAGAAGAATTGTAGTTGTAAACCGGCAGGCTGGACGCGGGCAGGGGCCCGTTCTGCAGTGAGGGCAAAACCATAGGTTCAGCATTGCTGGATCCCACTGTGCTGGCGTAGCCGCTGCTCGATGCCCGCTGATCCGAGGAGCCGACTGCTGGTGGGATGGCGCCACCTCCATGACGCTTAGGTCGTACGGTCATTTGCGTCTCTACTTCCAAGATCATGTCATCTAGGTTCGCTGGCGGTTTCTCGTTGATCTTCTCCAATGGAGCCAGCTGGTGTCCACCTCGCTGCAAAGTAGATCCACTTCCAGCAAGCTGAGGGCCACTTGTGCCACGAGCACCTCTGAACCCTCCTGCACCTCCGGTTGTCGTCGCGAGTTGCACCTGCTTCTTCTTTTTGTTCTTTCCCGCCGCGCCTTGCTTTGCTGCCGCTCCACGCGCTTTAGAAGGGGAGCCGGCAGCACTGGAGGCTTCATCAAACCCACCGGATGGAACCACTCCACCTGGAAAAAACCCATTATTTTGCTGCCGAAAGACGTCCTCCATCGGCGCACCCACAACTGCGCTCGAAGCCGTGCTCGGATTATCGTGGAGGGAACTGTCCTGCACTAAACTCTGCGTTGAGATTCCCGGAGGCCCGGCTCCGTACAACGCGTGGCCTGCCGGCAAGTAGCCACCGTCAGAGCGCTCGTGTTCCGCAGTTGCTCCCCTTCTCATCTCAAACGACTGTGTTGTTGTGTTGTTGCTACCACCATGCGAGATTCCGCCATTATGAGGCGAAGCATGAAGACCAGTATGCGTCTGTGCCATGCCCATGCGCTGCCTCAGCAGCAACGCCTCTTCATCGCTACGCACAGCCGCGAAGTTGCTGTATTCTCCAGCTACGTTCCCACTTCGCAGAAATTCCGCAGGAACCCCGTAAATGCCGATACTTCGTCTCGTATTCTTGAAACTGTCTGTGGTGCGGAAGTCGATGCGTGTCGCAGGCGCTGTGTTGGCGCCTCCAGGCCCCTGCAGAGGTTCCCCATCAGCAACCGCCGTTTGTCTCGTTGTGTTGCCCGCACTCGTTGCACCGCCAGCAGTAGTGCTGGCAGCCGGGTACCCGGTAGTCGTGAAACCACTGCCAGGCGCGATGGTGGTCGCAGTACCACCCATGCTGGTCATGCCAGCCACGCCATAATTGTACCCCAGCTTGCGTTGCTGCGCTAGTACTGGATCACTCAATTGCTCAGTCACGAGAAACGGTGATCCGCGTTGCCCCGTTTGCCCTGGAAACAAACCAGGTAAATATCCACCGCCACTTGGAAGATAGACCATCGTGGGCTGTTGAACTCCTCCTTCTGCGCCAGCATTTTTCGGCGAAACTAGAATATGTTCTTCACCCGGTCCAAGCTGGTGCGCACTCAACATGCCACCTACCGCACCCAGTGCACCCGCATGAGCGCCCTCTGTGTTGACGCTCGACAGCTGAAGCAACGACCCGCCGTAAGCGGCTGTCCGTCCTCCGACAGCACCCATTCCCATCACGTTACGTTCGTACACGTGCGGTAGGTATTTCTTAGACACCCATTCACGCATGTCTCGGAAACGTTCACGCTGTCGTAGTCCCTCTTGGCTTAGAGCTCGCCCTAAAAATTAATCCATCTATCTTGAGATGCATCCTGGGCCGCTTTATTTCCTTTTCCACTAGAAAGACAAGCCCACCCAGGATGATATCTCGAAAACGAAAGATGGATTAATAAGAGAAGCCGTAATTTGTGCTTGGCCGCCATTTTCTCGCTTTCCTCCCGCAGATTGCTCGGATAATAAATGCTCATCACCTCTCCCGTTTTTGGGTGCAACCCCTTCTCCATATGCGTGTAGTCTGTGACCATTAGACGCGAGAAGCTGTCCCTTCGCATCATCTTCTGTTGCGCGACAAACGACTCCATGTCACGATGGTACTTTTCGCCTAGTTCCGAAATGTTGTGCCCGCTGCGCATGTACTTCACGATCTTCACTTTAGGACGGTCCGTGCTCATCACCGTGCTCTTCGACATGGTCGACGTCGAAGCCTGCAGCAAGTCCACTAGACTGACGGCTTCTCGGCGCTCGAACTTGGATCGGACAATGTCGTTCTCCTCTGCGGTCAAGTACTTATCCAACAATTCTAGGACATCCTCCTTGATGGACTCGGCTCCGCGAAATCGCTCGGCCTCTAACATGGCCAAAGCTTCGGATTTAAGAGCCTCCATCCGCAAGACCTCAGCTTGCTCCTCCTTGGTCTTTTTCTTCCTCTTCTTCGGTTTCACCTCAGCCAGAGGATCCGATGCTGCGTTGGAAGGGTCTCGCTCTGGCATCAAGTATGAAGAAAGAGGAAGTGGATGAATCAAGGGTCGTGGATGAATCCGTAACCGTATCAGGAAGAAAACGATTTAGAACCTACTAAGTACTTATATCAAGAGACCTGACGTATGAATTTCTTGTTCGATATTTTCATCGAGTATCAAATATGCGAAAGCGAGAACTGTATAAGACATAAAGTAGGAGTGACATCCGAGGGCTGCAGATCTCCCGCACCACCTTCAGCACCCTCAGAGGATAATTGTTCTTGCTCGCTCGGTTCCGCATCTTCTTCTTCATCATCCTCGTCTTGTTCGTCCTCGAATTCACCGTCTTCTTCATCAACTTTCTCCTCTTGAGGTTCTTCAAGAGCCTTCATTTCCCCTTCTGCCCCCTCACCTTCATCCTCAGCTTTGTGCTGTGCATCACCTGCTTCGACATCTGCAAAGGCATCCTCTTGCACTTTTGGAGCATCATCGCCACGCATCAAAACTTCAGTTGTATCTACAACACGGTCTCCTTGAGAGGTAAGTGGTGCATCCCCCGAAGCAGCAGCACCGTCAGCCGCAACTTCGGGTTCGGTACCAAAAGGTCGTCCAGGGCCGCCAGAACTAGATTCCTTCGTACCCGCTTTGCTGACTGTTTTCGACTCACCGTGTGCAGACTCGACGTCATTACCGTAGACCTGCTCTACGCCAGAGCGAACAGCGTCGAATACTAGGAGCTCGGAGAGAGTATCTGTTTTGATTGTGTTGCATTAGTTGTTTGGATGGGGCTGAGGCTCTACATAAAGTGGTGATGTTCACGATGCACAGTCGTGAGGAAGGTTTTCAGCATTTTTAGCAAGCGTAGAAAAGGATTTCCACTAGGTAACTGATGAATCCTCTGAGGATTTCATACAAATCAAAATGAAATCATCATCAAATTTTACGTTCGTCATTCTTAGCAGCTTTTTCTTGCTCCGTCCGACGAACCCGCTCTACTTCTGCACCCAAAGACTCCTCTAGGCCGCCACGGATGACATCCTTGACAACCGCGCCAGACACCGAAGACGTCGCACTTTCTTCTGACGACGACCCCTCTCGAGGCTTCTCGTTCTCTCCTCTGCTTGGCGGCACCGATTCCGCAACAGCGCGATCCACCAGTGCCGCCGCAACTGGCGATAGATCGTCGTCCGCTGCTTCGCCGGTGAAGACTTCTTCTAGAGCTAGAGCTAACGTTGGTGCTGCTCCGTTATTTGCTGCGTTTTCAACATCCTCTCCAACATCCTCACCAGCTGCCTCAACAAGCGCGTTACCGTCTCCGTCTTCCTCTTCGAGTTTAGTGGACGATTCCACACCGCCTCCAGATCCAGAAGAAGCTCCACTTTCTGTCTGACCTCCAATCGAGGGTGCTGGAACTTCCCCAGAGATGCTTGGTTCTGCTGGAACTACCACAGGAGATCTAGACCCTCTCTTTAGAGCTACCGCGTTCGCATTCCTCAGAGCATCCTTGATGGAGGCTTCCTTTTCAAGTAGAAAAGCAGCCAGCGATGCTTCACATTTGATGGAGGCTTCCTTTTCAAGTAGAAAAGCAGCCAGGGCTGATAGGAATGCTCCAGCGGAGGTCTAGCCTTAATCTCTTCTGCCTTCTTGCGTCTGCAGCAGCTTTTTTCTTATTTTTCGCGTTATCTACAGCCTCCTTCTCTGCGGCGTCCTTTTCTGCTGCCTGGGTAAGGACATCCTTAGGCGCATTTTCCTCAAGATACTGCTCATACGAAGCTTTATTATCCTCAAAAGCCTTCCTCGTTTGCGGCGACCAGTCTACCGCATGGCGCTCGTTGTCACGGAGTGGTCGTGGCTTCCTCACTGGGGGCTCGAGCTGATGAGTAAAAAAGAACTTTCAGAGGAGGCTATATTAATGCATGATCGGGCTCTACTTTGATGAAAATCAACATGGTATGTAGGAGTACCAAAATCTTTTCACGCAGTTTGCCACAAAAGTTCAAACACATGCTATGAAACCCATGCTATGAAATAGCACTAGGACATCGATGTCAATAGTTTCAAAGTTGTACCATATTCTCGCACACTGGTTCGAAGTTTTCGGATAAAATGTATCGATTTTCGATTTTAGCATTCTCAAACTCCGGATCGTCCTCCAGCTGCGAGGGTCCCAAGTCTAAAGGACCGCTCTGCGGCGGCCGTTCTCGACCTTGAGGTCGTACGAAGGCGTAGTTGTCAAGACTCATGGGCTCCCCCTCGCCAGGAGACGCGTTGTCAACCTTGTTGTGATCACCTAGAGGACCGAATTTGCTGTCGGTCGTATCCTGGGAATCCCCTAAAAATTCTGGAAAAGCGGAAAGTCCAGGTTTTCCACCTCGTTCGGCGCCAAGCGATAAGGAATTACTTCGCATGATATGTTAGAAGAGAATATTTTTATGGCTTGATCATGAATTAAAGTTTTGATCTAGACTAGAATTAATGGTGCATGCCTAAAGTCAAATAGAAGTGAAAGGACTTGGATTCCCTGACGAAATGAGAAATTACCTTTGTGCTATATTTAGACTTACAAGAATCTCAATTTCATGATTATATCCTAAGTGTCAGTTCCCCCATTCCCAAGCGGATTCAGTGTCGTTGCTCCGCCATTACCCCTCGTGCGCGTCTTGCTGACCATGGGCCGATTCAGGTAGACTGCGTTCGGATCATAGGGCAAGAGCTTGCGACTCTGACTCAACATGCCAGCTGTCTTGACATTCGAGGAAAACCACTCGGTGCATGTCTTAGCCTTGTTAATAGCACTGATAGCTTCTAATTGGCTCTTTCCTTTAGCGGTCGTTTTCGCCCTGATGAACTCCAGATGATCTCGCATGAAAGCATTGGTCTCGCTGTAGACCTCCAGGTAGGTGTCCGCACCATGGAAAAATGCCATTACCTGTATACACAAAAAAGTACTTAGACTTACTTTTACTCGACTTCTAGCATAGAGAAGTAGATTTTTACATAAGACATGTCTCCTAACAAGATAGAGATTCACCAAAGAACAAAATACGTTTTTCGTTCTTTCCCTTGCTTTCAGTTTTGCTGCCGGTGGTTTGATAATCGGTGGCGGCGTCTTCTGCCTAACTTTCGGCGGTGTGTCAGGTGCCAGGACTCCGAGTTCCTGCTGTAAAGCACGTGACTGTGCTTCTCGGCTCTTGTTGCCCTCTGACAACAAGTTCTGATATTCCACTTCTATTTTGTAGAAGTCTCGTCGCGGTGTAGGTTTTTCATCGTCCTCTAGGATCACTGACGGATTCACACCAGCATGCGAACATAAGAGTTTGATGCACCTGAGGGTTGTGTAGAAGTCGATAAGCATGTGAACATACCAGTTTTACGCACCTGAAGACGAGGGATTTGGGTGAGATGAATCAAATTTTCGATCGTATCAAGATTATAATCTTGTAGGGGGCCTTCAAAGTGCAAGAAACTTGTTCTCTATGATAAGTGAGTGCCCTTCATCCCTGCAACAGGAAGAAGGCTGCGCGCGCACGTGCTTCGCCGGCTAGCCCATCTACTATTGTTTCCCCTTTTGTTGAACTACTAAAATTTCATTGGCCTTAGAATTCAAGAAACTCTTTCTCTTCTTGAGAAAAAACTACTAAAATCAAAATTTCTTCAAAATGATCAAAAGCAAGTACCTCACAGCTCTTTGATATCCTCGCTGAGCAGCCACACGCGGATCGACTCTCGTGAAGGCATTATCTTTTGTCCAATATGCTCCTTTGGAATCATAAAAAGGCCCAGTCCATTGGTGAATCTGGCCAACTAGCCATTCCTTGAGAGCACTCCTAGCCATGCTTACTCCTCGAACGTTTTCCTGTTTTGATACTTCTACAACCAACTGCATCAAATCGTGCTGCGGATGAAGACGAGAGCACTCACCGGTAGCGACGTTGTAGAAAAGCCTGTAGTCGAGGAAGAGCGTGGAGGTGGAAGTGGATTTACAATTTTTAATTTCATGATCGATGGATGAGAGACGATTCTTGTTGTGGGATTGAATTTACAGCTTCCACCACAACTATATTGATGATAAGCACACATAGAAACTAGCGAATGATCTATCAGTACAAGTCTTCTTGATCGATGTTGTCCAAAGTGCGGACTTCTCCCTTTTCCCGAAAGTGGTCGTATCCTTGTCTGAATCGCCAGTGGGTCGGCAAAGGTTGTATCAACCACTTCACTAAAACCAGATAGATCGTTCCCTGTTCCGGACTCACATCTAGAATGTTCTGGACATATTCTTCCGGTCCTTGCGTCCACTTGAGGACTTTCTTCAGGTGCTGCGTCGAAAACCTCGGAAAAGGTGGCATTTCGGTCGATGTAGTGGCAGCGAGAGACTCGCCTCCCATGATTGAGGACTCGGGAGGTCCTACGGACATTGTCATGGAGGGTTCTTTTGGAGGAGTCGTTGGTCGTCTAGTACTGCTGATGTCATCACTTCCGGTTACTAGAGGAGGTTCTGCTATCGGCGTTTCCTGAGGACTCTCTGTCGCATTTATTTCGGTCGTTGTAGTACCGACGGCTTGCTGCTCTGTGCTTGTTCCCTCGGCTTCACCCTGTAGTACTTCTTCAGCTCTACCATTTCCTGCATTCTGCTCTGCTTCGTTGTCGTTGAATGTAAAGCGCACACCTCCCCCAGTCGGCGATGACGCAGCTGCCATGACCGCTTCGACATGAGCCGTAGTCGTAGCCTCGTCCACCGGATCGTAATTGACCGGGTCCGCGACTTCCAAAAACTGGACATGAATCGAAGGCGCCGGCATATCCGCTACGTCGTCTTGCTGGCTGACTCGAGAGTTGGATCTAGTTCCAGTACCACTTTCCGCTTGAATTCGTCTCTGCACGAGAGGTTCTGAAGACTGCTCTCCTATCTCTTCTGGCTCCTTCTCCTCGACCGAAGTGTTCAGCATTTGACTGGTAGAAGATTCGCCTACCAAAGGGATATCCTCTACTACTGCAGCCACAGCGTCTTCCACCACAGCTTCCTCTGCTTGGGAATGAAAAAGATAAAGACAAAAACAGTATTGCAGAATGATAAGATATCTTCTTAGATATGATCTATTAGTCCCTCGTCCATGCATAAAAGTCTGTGTCGCTGGTAAAACTCTGTGCGCCGTAGTCTACGGAAGAAGAGGCACTACGTTTTGATCCCGGTCGTTCCTCTGACGGACCACCTGCGAGCTCATCCTCTTCTGGTTTCGTCTGAACAGCATCATCCGGCTTCGCTTCTGCTACAGCGTCAGCCACAGCAGTGGTCTCAGCAGCAGCGTCATCTGGCTTCGCTTCTCCTACAGCAGGCGCTTCTTCAGTCGCCCCACCACCAGCCTCTTCTGCCACTGCCGTTGTCCCAGCTCCATCTGCTTCATTTGCCGAAAGTGCTTGTTGAGCCAAGTCACTACTCACGTGCTCCAACACGACACTCGCCGTTTGGTCTACCACTGTGGACGCCATCAGCGAGTCTGCCTCCTCTTGAGGAGGAACCTCCTCTTCCTGTAGTCCTCCAGGAAGGTTCTCCATCTCCTGTGATGCCGTAATAACATCCTGTATACTCGACTCAGTGACGAGGAGAGCGTCTTCCTTGGCCAGCACGTCATCTGCGAGGTCTCGCGCGATGCCGCTCAGCCCCGACTGGGGCCGTTCGTCGGAGGACATCTTTCAATATATCACCAGCTGGGTCTAGACCTAGAGCTAGTACTATCTACTTTTGGAAGAACACCAGCAGTTCTACTGCATCTAGTTCAAGACACAAAAAGTAAGTACTGAAATTGGAAATACATACGAAAATTGGTCTTGCGCGAATCCTCTAGTGCAGGTAAAGCATCAGAGAGATGAAACCATGCATTGTGTGTTACTTCGACAAGAGTATTCTCAAAGGTGCATCTAGAGAGCACGTAGAGGGCATGGTAGGGAAGCTGGAGGGAAGGTGAGAGGAGAGGTAATTCAGGAACTCAACACCCTACAATGAGTCCGATCAAGATTCCAAACAGATTTTTTCCTTGACACCTTGACGAAATCACAAAGACCGATTATCTCGAAACTAGATTTTACACCGAGGCCCGGCATGGAATTTCACATGAAAGATTGTCAACGTCCTTCCCATGCATATCCTATAAATATTCATTCCAAAGACAAAGAGGCTTGCGCGAAACAAGAACATAAAGAACGAATGACTTTTGCAGGAGCATCCTGCAACAAGCACATGAATCCTTGGTAGAAGATGCGGCGCTGATATCAAAGTCAAACATAAATACAACTAAGGGTCAGAGTTATAGCACAAAGCGCATCTTCTACTTGGCCCATCAATCATCATAGAATCCGCCCAAGCATAAAAAACGTTGCTCCACCATCAACAATAAGAAACGCTTTTAGAGGCTAAACGAACCTCCCCAGATCCAGGCCAGTTCCTCCAGTCATCTTTTGCAATACAGCACCAGTTACCCAGCTCTGCATGCGTTCCTTTTGGTCCTTTGAGCACTTCCAAAACGCCATCAGGTTAGTCCAGGCGAAAACCTCCGCGACTACCAGGAATACTATCCACGACAGGTTTAATGACAGCACGTTTATGATAAGAAACAACGTCCAAACCAGGGCCCAGGCGTATCTGACATATTTTTGAAGTAGTAACTGGTTGTTGGATCCGGCTTTCGGGAGATGTTGAAAATCAAGTAAAAATAGTTCGTTGTTGTATGAGGCTTTGGAGAGATGAAAGTCAAGTAATTCTAATTTCGACGACAATTGCATTGTAAGAACGACCCAACTTCTAATTATTCCTTCTTCTGTATAATGAATACAGGAAAACTACACTAACACTATTCAACCTAGTAAGCAAAGTACGTTCCAAGCCAAAAGACGTTCTTGTCCAATGGGTCTAGCTGGGTTTCGTCCTGCAGTGACTCAAAGACCCACTCGTTTACCTCCTCACCGTTTTCGCCGTCCTTTATGATATTCCACCATCGCAACCCCACTAGCAATCTGCCTGTGACGTTCTTCACCTGTATGTGTGTCGCTGATGATTATATGACTTGATGACTCATGAGATTATAGGCAAAGCATCCACAAGCTAAAGATGTTGTCAAAAGATCGATGATGAAGTGGTGAAGATGAGACAATGTTGACAATTAGCACTCAGGATAGTACGTTGCGTTTGTAGAAGACATCGATGGATCAAGGCTGGTACTACTGTTTGAAAACATACAGAGTAAATAGCTTCAATTCAGTACCGTCCAGAAGTCGAAGGCGAGAAAAAGGATGCAGAAAATGTATGTCAGCACTGCATTCGTCCACACATATCCGCCGAAAAGATAGACGAGAAGACTGGAGAAGGGAAAGTTTAAGATGAAGATCGTAATCGTATCGTTCTGAATTTCATTGGTAATTGTTATCAGGAAAAATCACAAATTAATTCTAAGTCGAAAATCAAACAAAAGCGAGCATAATAAGAGGACAGTTGCAACTCCAAAAAGTGCATAATACCATAATGTCTTGAACAGCAGGTGAAAGCAGCAGGTTACTGGATGCTTGGCGCCCTTGAGGAAGTCAGGCATGATTAGAGTGGGGAAAATCTATGCACCAGGCGCGGCCGGCTTCAGCCATATGTACGACGCAAAGAGATCTCCCTATAATTGTTCAAAGCCCGTAGTCATGTGTACACCTCTGATGATGCTGCTCGTGGTACCCGTAGAGACAAGACCTGATAGTGTACTTGTAGTAGAACCCTTCTCATAATATGACAGCGCCGAAGGGGTTGCCTCCCGCCGCTGGCTCGGAACCGAAACCCTGCATAGCCTGTGGGCCCAGAGTTGGTGGCACGACACTGGATTGCATAAGATTAGTGTGAGTACTTCATATGGCATGAGATGGTTGCTGACCCATGTTGACACAACGTGGAAATGGTGTGTGCTATCTTCTTCTTCTATCATGATCTTTGCTGCCATAACGCTACCTGATGCCGCGGGAGGCGGCCCAAGATTCTGTTGGCTGAAGAAATCATCCAAATCGCCTGCCGTTGCAGGATTATTCATCTTGGATCGAGAGTCTCCTGACGCTGGCCGCCAGAGACGTAAGTAGAGTCCTCACGCCTCGGTGCTGAAACTCTAAGTAGAGTTCCTCACTACAACCAGAACTCAACTACTTAGTATCTTTGTAGTAGACCCTCACGCTTCCTCTTATTCGCTAGTCGCTCGAGGGCTCCTTACCACCAGTTGATATACGCGAACACGTACACATACGCAGCAGAGTGTGTTCTTCACCTGGAGTCTTTCCTTCGGAAGCTGGAGCTGCCGCTGCGCATTCGTACGTAAGAAACAGGACTAGGATCGCTATTCGAGCATATGGAATCTTGTCAAGCAGATGAGCTGCGATAGCTTTTCCACGCGAACCGTGCGAATGCAGACTAGCGATTTTAGCTCCACGATCCTTTGATCTACACCTCCTCTTCGCTATGCGGCCTAGTACTGGGTACAATTGCTGTACTCGCCCCGACAACTTCGTTGCTAGTTCGCTCAAGCTTAGCTCGTCATAAACACTCTGCTAGAGTGAAGCTGCTTTGCGCGTAAGCCCAGCAACTGCGCTTACTGCGTTTAGTATGGACTATGCGTCTGCTGCTTACAGCTTCGATGCTTCCGCCTTCGTCGCTTCGCAAAATCCTCCAGCATGAGACGTAGTATTTTCGCAAGCACAGACAGTGGCCTCCATGAGCTTCTTTTGAGATATTCTTTTCGAAGATAGTACTCAGCGCGTTATACTGCGTAGGATTTATACTTAGTTCATCAAGTCAGTCTTAAACTTTATGGACTCAGGCAACTACCATTCTCATTCATCTAGACCTTTCATATTGTTACTGTACATGCACCTGTACTCGCAGGCACTACTACAGGTCTTTCCCATTTCAGTTCCAGTCTCCGTATGTGTTTCTCTCAAACAAATTCAGAAAATACGAGGACCTAGAAGACAACCAGGTCCGTTTTTGAATATGGACATTCATCTCGGCCTTTTCTAATCCTGTAATATCATCAGGGTTCCTCCTACCTGTGCACAGCAAAGTTAAACTCAGGCGTGAAGTCCTTCATCGACCACGTCTATGGACTACTACTATTGAGTCTAAACTCAATCCATCGTCGAACAAAAACGAACCATCAATGCATCCTACCAGACAGCTCGCCGCACGCAGCAAGATCCGGAGTTGTGACGGTTGGGGTTACAACTACCCCGCGGCACAAGTACAATGCGGTAGGTCACTACATCTTCTGCGCGAGGTCTATATCTTCTTGATCATCTCAATCTTCGCAATATATCACACGCTTGTTATGCGGCGCTATCACATGCTCCTTATGCGCGCACCTGATGACTTAAACTTAGTGGGCCAGATGCCGAAGACGTTAATAGAACTAGAAGTGATGAATCAATAGAAAATTGGCCATTGGACCAACGAACAGATTGGCTCAAGCCCCAGCTCCTACCTAGTAGAAAGCAAGAATTGCTATCTATTGGCCGGTGCGAGTACTTAGTACTAGTGCTAGATTGCAATATATATTGGTTCGAGTACCTAGTACTTGCGAAAGAAAATAAACAACTCAAACAAGTACCTAGTTTACACTCGACCAATCAGTCTTCTTTGTCAGCAGCAAAATTCCAGAAAAGTCATATACTACACTTGTTGGCAGCAATACAATCTAAGAAACATTATATTTTTACATATTTATTAGATATATGTATCTGACGTTCTGACTAACAATGATGCTACTTCGGTATGGTGCGATCAGCCAGCAGATAACCCAAAAAACATACAACTGCTTGAATGGCCATCACACCAGGTACGCCGACGACAGGCAAAAACAAAGGGTTCGCTATGAAGAATTCATGGGGTTCGGGTGGGTGGGTGTCTCGTGGGTGGGTGTGGGATCATGTTCGTTGTAGATGAAGGCCACGACAAAGCGCATGTTGCAACAACTTTCTTCTAGAGAAGGTCCAGTTTGAGAAGGTCCCGTTTCCTCCCAAGTTCAGTAGTTTCAGGAACTCCACATAAGTACTTACTTTGGATTAACATATCACTTTCAATTCATTTCTCAAATCTCATAAAAAGAAGCGTGCCAGCGACAGCCCCAATCTTTCCGCAAGCTGCTGAGCGTCCATGAAACGTTACACGCCGTTCCTTCGGAAAACACACCATAGGAAGCACATACGTGGCAACGTTCGGTCCAAATTGGCAACACAAGAGGACATAGGATTAGAGGAGGAGGATGATCTGGAGCAAATGCAAAGTAGTGACAAAAATCTCTTTGATTGCATTCTAGTACAACTACAGCAAACAGCTATAAGTCCAGTTGTAGATGGGAACAAAGCTAGGTATAAGTACCTCAGCATTATATTAGATCCACTTACTATACTTTCAGCCAGTCATAAATGTAATACAAGATCAGCGCCAGGTAGCCTCCGCCCACATCTGTGCGGACCTGCAGCGCAAAGAGCGCGAAAGCAACGGTCATGAGAGCAAATCCAAGTGTCATCCCATCTCTGCAGCTGGTTGCTGCAATGTGGTATACCGAAAGAACCGCACCAACGACCGATACTAAATTCGACAGGATCGTCTGGGTGCACACCGCCGTCAGAGGCGCGTCAGGTGGCAAAATTTTTTCTAAGGGAATTAGAAGAAACCAGACATAAGATATGCGAAAAAGAATGGTCTTAGCACAGAATCATCTTCCAAGGCAGACACTTCTTCATGAGATATGCGAAAAAGAATGGTCTTAGCACAGAATCATCTTCCAAGGCAGACACCTCTTTTTTTGGGGCGATCGGAGGACAACATCAATGTTAAATACCGCACCATAAAATGAAAGGAGCGAAGACACTCGTCCCGTACATGCTAACATCGAATAGGAGCCAGGATCCCCCAGAAGCCAACAAAAGACTATTAAGACTGTGACTACTGCTTCTAGTTCCTTCTCGATGGTCTGATGGCGATGGAGTCGAATGGCTCCTGGTCTGTGATGTTGGTGTTTGCTTCGTTGTACTAGCCCCTCCGTTGCTCGACGTTGGGGCTGCGATTATTGCCGTTGATTCAGAGTCCAAAAACTGAGTCATTTCTCTAGGATCTTCTTCGCGCCATGAGAAAAAGAGGTGCTCCAATACGACAAGTAAACAGGGCACTGCCCCAAAGGCGACGACCACTTGAAACTGAAAAAGCAAAGACGACACGGTCGTCCCAACGCCACCCATGCACACCAAAAGAGCCAAGCAAACGACGTAGGGAAAGACCACACCTGGAGTCTGCCACAGAAATGCGAATCCAGCTTTGCGTGCTATCTCAGCAGGGGAAGCATCCTGCAATTTGGAGATGCTCTGTTCGGCGCCAAGTGGATACATGCCTCCAACTCCCCAACCAAGAAAAAATCGGCCGACGGTGAAAACGCCATAGAAGATGTTCGCATCCATGGTGGTGGAAGAAGTTGGAGCTGTAATACTAGGGTCCTCTGTTTTTGTTCTCGACTCTCTATTCGTAGAAGCACTGGCATGAGCATCGTGGAAATGCCTTTTAACAGTTTTCTCTGATACATGCTCATCCAATACCCTTCTGGTTCTGTTCTCGTCGACACGAACTCGGATTCTTTCGACTGGCTCGTTCGGTGGCAGTTGTTCCACTGTCGCTAATGACAGCAACCTCCTAGTACGTTGATCCGCAATCCGAATATCTCCTGCCGAACTAGCTTCACCTACCTCTTCCTGCTCATCAATCCTAGATGACCCTATTGTCGCCGCTACTCGTCGGGGTCCGCCAGTCGTGGGAAAAATACCGCTCGGACCAGTGCCGCTCGACCGACTCGCAATCTCTATATTGAAGCCGGCTGCGTTTTCGTCACTTTTAGCGGTATTTTCACATAAGATCCCAAGTTGGAGGATCAGGCGAGGATGTTAGAATCACGAAAAATCCGCTTACCAACTTCGCTCTATTGAAAAAGTAGACCAAGATCGAAGTTGTACGTAGATGAATAATGAGGTTTAGCTAGGACTTTTCAAAGTCAGTATTTCTATGGAGTAAGTTTGTAAGAGGACGCCCATCAAGTCCCCGAAGCATCTGCGTCCTGTTTCAGGTAGATGAATAAAAAAAAAGCATGAACTTTGAGATACAAGCATGAGTTGTACGTAGATGAATAATCTCACTGGCCTTAGAATTCAAGAAACTATTTTACTCAAGCGCAGAGGAGTACTCCGCCATTGTCTGCTTCTGGGAGGCCATTTTTTGATGCGTAGATGAATAAAAAAAAAAGCATGAACTTTGAGATACAATACTGAAAGTCATCATCTAGTGCTCGCACGGACATTTTCAATTGCTGAAAATTCATTTACCCTGAGCCATACCTCCAGCTCCAGCCGCCCACCATGGTGCCACGAATGCGCAGCACAAGGTCGCCAGAAGTGTCAACATCTGCGTGATAAACATTGCTCGCTTACAGCCTATTCGATCGCCCAGAGTACCCATGGTCAGCATGCCATTAGGTTAGAAAAAGCAACTCCAACATGAACTTCTTTCACAGAGAAGTAGTCATATAAAAATCTATAAATATGTTTTTGACTCTTTCTGAGTACTACAGATACCGCGTCTCCAACCTTAAACAAGTGTCCCCCCGAACACACTCGCGAGCAGAATCTTCTCCGCCCAGACCGGCTCCGGCGGGAATAGGCCCCCTTTCTTCGGCTCCTTTATCAGCGCGATTGCCGTAGAAGCGCAAGTCAAATTATATTGGATGCTGAAGTTGGTCACGCTAGCAACCCACCCTTTGCTGCGCTGTTGCGGTTCGTTGGCGGACATCTTAGTCTTTTCGTATGCTATTTCTAAAGTATCTTAGTCTTTAAGTCTCTTCTTACGCATGCACACAATTCACACGTCTTCTTCTTGCTGGCATGACTGGCACGACTGCTAACTTGTGCTACGCACAACTAGCGAAGAGAGACTCAAAGGGTTTTTTGAAGATGACTGCAGGTCAAATTACTACTCGCAGTACTTCTATCGTACAGTGTCACCTTCTCTCACTCAGATCTGCCAACCATGAAAGCCTTGTGCTCCACTGAACCCCCTCCGGAGGCTGTTATCTCCACACCGCATGAACATACAAGGTGACCTCCGCATGATCGCCTCTAACCAGGTGAGGGTCATGGCACCCTCACCCCGATAAACGTAGTTGTAAACTATATGGTCGACGTCAGACCCGAAGCGAAAAGTTGTCGCATGAATCTTGGATAGTCATAGTTGTAATCGATCTTGGATAATCGATCCTAAGGTCTTTTGCATCAGAGTGAGGGACTCCTGATGCGTGTGGTTGGGGTACAACATCTGGGGAAAGGAGAAACGTAGCGTTTTCAATTCGCGTCAGGGTCTGTAGTTGAGGTCTATTTGATAGAGATGACATAGAGAATTCGATTTTACTTATGAAAATTTATTGATCGTATACGTTTACGTTGTTTTAGAGCTAACCTCACCCGGTAACCATGTAGTCCTCTCCTACTAGTAGGACTTCCCTAGCGCAGATGTATACTCGAGACACAAATCCTGCAGCGACACCGCAGAAATCGCTAGATTTCTATCGTAGAGGAAAGAGTATACTTGACGAAAGAGTATACTTGACAACCTTACCCTTTTTGAAATTAGGAGTGACTAAGTCGATGGATTCATCTGTCCCATCACCTCCCCGCTCACCTCTGTGTCACCGTCAACTCATTATAATATGGCGGATACACAACTGAAACTTGACGTCTAGAGGGAAACCTGAAAAATGTACTGAGTTCCACGTCCTCAGAGTTCCACGTCCTAGAGGGAAACCTGAAAAATGTACTGAGTTCCACGTCCTCAGAGTTCCACGTCCTAGAGGGAAACCTGAAAAATGTACTGAGTTCCACGTCCTCAGAGTTCCACGTCCTAGAGGGAAACCTGAAAAATGTACTGAGTTCCACGTCCTCAGAGTTCCACGTCCTCAACGTCCTCATCCCCGGATCCACCGAAGCCAGCCGGCTCGTCATCGATAGTCTCGACAGTACGCCTTGACGGCTCTTCCTCCTTCTTCTCCCTGGACGTAGAAGAGGCCGTCTTCTTCGAGGATTCTTCTTTGTCCTCTGGGGAAGCGCTCTTGCTAGAAGAAGGTTTCTCATCTTTCTGCGAGGAGGTCTTTTCGCTGCCCTTTGCGCCTGCTGCACCTTTTGTGTTCTTATTTCCGGAAGAAGAGCTACCACTTGTAGTTGTGCCCTTCGTGCTGCTTTTCTTAGAGCAAGAGGATTATAACTAAAAAGTCTTAGTAAGAAAAAAGAAAACCTAGGTCTGCAATATCCATCACCCTCAACAATCTCAGCCTTAACTTTCGTGCTACCACTTGCGTCTTTCCTCTTCCTACCAAGGTCGTCATACATGCCACTGAGGTAGTCGTCATCCCCATAGGAATCATCTTTCCCGAGATAGTCATCTTTTCCTCCACGGCCTAGAGATTAGAATGAGAAGACTCCAAGTCCTTGAGCATGTAGACCTGTGAGAAAAGTTGTATCTCTGTTGTCTAAAAGGATAGCAATAGGATAGAATGCCTCGACGTCGTTCCACCCACACGCGGAGGTGGCAACTTGGCCCCAGCAGAACGCACCAAAACCAACATATCCTTAAGATAAATCTCTTCATCACAAAATCATTCATTATTACAATAATAAATATATCGTTGCATTCATTATTGCAATATATCCAAACATTAAATGTATCTAAACCAGCATGGCCGTGTCATAAAAGTAGTCATCGTTCAGGTAGTCGTCCTTCAGGCCGCCTTTTCCAAGGTAGTCGTCATATCTTGGCTTGTCCTTCGTTTCATGCCTCAAATTCTTCGAATATTTGTTCAACAAGGCGTGCCAGATCTTGGACTCTTGGCCTTTCTTCGATTAGAGGATATCTAGATGAAAAAAAAGCTAATCTATTCCACTCCTTCTGGACCTCATACATAGAAGAGAACAAGGAACAAGTCACAAAGTATTATCAACTGATGACGCGAATCTACTCGGCAGTCTGCCTAAGATCTCCCAGACAAAGTATTATCAACTATCCTCGTCTTAATTGAAGCTCTTGTATACGGTTTCGCTCATCCACTGGTCGTCCATCTCCTTCTCTGGGAGTTTCTCCTTGGCAAATGTCGTGTAGAAATTCGTCAAGCTCTTCTTGAAAGTATCATCTTTTGAGTCTCCGTCCACACAATCACAATTCGCCTTTTGGAACTTGGTGTACCTGTTTGTGTTTGGTAAAGGTACATGTAGCTAGTGTTTGGCAAGGTGCTGTTTTTGGTAAATATTCCAGAATACTGTTGATTCATAATTAACATGCGAAGTGGGATATAGGCCAAACATGTCATGCGATTTCCTTAGGAAAAATGTGAGTGGGATATAGCTTGCAACTTTTATCACGTTTACGAATCAAACGACGTGCGAAACTATCTCAACAACGTCGTTGGACTTTAAATCCTTATTACGTAGACATCCATGAAAGCAAAGGTCATAGAACGTAGAAGTACTCGTCGCATTTATCGCCGGATACGCCACCACTCATCATTATGCCGAACTGTGCGTTCATTTTACAGTTCTTATCGCCAAGGCACTTCTTATCCACACATTTGTTGTATTCCTCCTCGATGTCTTTTTTCGTTCGCCCACAAACTTGCAGCCCGATATCCCGACCGATGCAGCACTGTTGTGATTGCCATTGTGTAGATGTAGTTTCTTTGCACATTACTTAAGGCATTTCAGATTTTTTGATGGCATTGGCGGATGGTGCGCATGATAGGCTGACAACGTAACTGGCGGGGGGGGTGTTGATATGATACTATTGAGACAGAAAGAAATACATGAACCAAAAACCCTAACGCACACACCGACGCGACAAGGGGCAGAGAGGCGCAAAGAAGTGAGAATAAACCCAGAGCGAAAGCGACACCCCCGCCGGTGGGTCCCAGCGCCAGGCCTGACCGCTAGCCGCTTGGTGCCTGCCCTTCGCGGTGTCTCTACGCAGGCACCCAGAACAACTGGGCGCAAGGCATAGAGCTGCCCCGCCAGTCCTTGGCACGCTCTTCCAAAATCACAACCCAGCGGAGGCAAAATTGGACGACTCTCCGTCCGATTATATAGTCAGCAGCGCCACAGCAGTAACAACACAAGCGCGGGGAGCCTCAACAAGCAACACAAGGCGAGCGCGATCGCCAAAGCCCAGCCGCATCCCACGCGCCCACTGCCGTGCAACGCGCAGCCACCTCCCTCACCTGCTCCGGCCGCAGTGCACTAATGGAGCTGCGCGGCCGCTGTGCAGGGCTTGCTGCTGCTGTTCTTGTTGCTGTTCTGCCTGCGCTGTTTGCGGAGGGCCATCAGGTCAGGCACTGCGCTGCCAGTGGCGGTGGCGGTGGCTGGTGGCCGAGCGTCAGCGAACTTCGCGCGCCCGCCCCACACAACCAGCCCACACCCCTGAGGAGCAAACCAATAGAGGCAAAGCCACCGCGACGGCGCACCGACATGCGCAGGCCTCCCAGAAATGCACGCAAGACGGCGGCTAAATACCAAGGCGGCAGAGCGCCGCCCCCCGTGACTCTTCAGCCGGAGGGTATCCCGGTTGGCCTGCTCACCTCCACCCGGCTTTCGGCCGGCCGATCACTGCGCGCGGCGGCACGGCAAGACAAGCGCAGGCGTTGGCCGTGATTGGGCGCAGCGTCGTGCCCCTCAGCTATGAGTGGCAGAAAAAAGCCCCGCACTTGCTATGCCATGACCCAAACAGCAAACCCAAGCAAACACAGACCCTTCGTCTCAACATGTTTACGATTAGGCACCTTCATCAGCTTGTCTCGGGTCCCGCCTTTTTTTGGCATTCCTAAACTCGAGGCGTCCATCATCGTCATCATATCGAAAGAACCTGAAGGGGGATACAAAGATGATTCACTCATGAATGAACACGAGTAATTGATCATCTACACGAGCATCAGAAAAGGTCAGATTCAATGCTTGCACATGAAGCTGCAAATACACAAGTTAAATTATTCACGAAAATTATACTTGCATCGCAGCCATAGACGACAGGCCATTGCTTTTTGGCGGAAAACCCTTTCTGCACAGGAACCTTTCCCGCTGGGCATTTGAACACTGGGCAATTCGTTTCTGCCTTAAAGATATCCCCGTAAGCATCCGCGCCGCCACCACCATAACCGCCTCCACCACCGCCGTAGCCGCCACCCCCGCCACCGTAACCTCCGCCGTAGCCGCCAGCGCCACCGCCATAAAGATCCTCGAATATTAGAACTGGATCATGCTCTCGCTCTCAGATGTAATCAGCCTTACAGCTCTGAGATAGAAAACCATTCATAAACAGTGATCTAGATGTTGTTCTAGTCCTCTGTTATTGAGGCAAGGAATGCACCAGTCAACGCATAGGAATACGATTACAAAATTTCTTCGTACACGTACTACAGTGACCATAAAAGTGGATCCGTTTTTGGCTTCTTGTTTTTTCCAGCTTTACTACTCTTCCTTGCTCCACTGTCGGTCTTTTTCGCTCCACTGCCGGTCTTCTTTGCTCCGGTATCCGTCTTCTTCGCTGTTGCTGTCGCTGACAACACCGTTGACAGCACCAACGTGCGGCAGGCAAACGAGAAACGCGTCATTTTCTTGGTGTCTCTTGTTCTATCTTGGTGCTCACAAGTTCAAATTCACAATGTTTGTATTGAATAGGAGTTACTGTTGTAGCGAAACTCAAGAACAAAAGAACTCGTGTTCGTCTGAAGTTGTAGAGACGGAACTTTTGTAACAAATCGCAAATGGTGAGGTAGATCTGACGATACATCCAATCCTGATGGTCAACCCCAGACACTGATCTCCTTTCTCATAGACTGCAAAAGATCCCCACGTCATTCGCTCTTTGTGCTAGATTCGGAAAGAACCGACTTTCAAGCCTAACGAGTTTCAGAGTTCCTGTTGAAAACATTTACAGGGCTGCCAGAACACTTTCTCGACACGTCAGAGTCAAACTGCTCCTTACGTTCTTTAGATCATCCATCAATCAGACATTCACATTTCCGACAGCGTCACGACCTTCAGTGTTATGAATGTTCACACTCTTAGAAATGCGTTCCTGACGAGGTCAGCACTGTCAAAGAAGAAGTACAGTCTTGAAGAAGATAGAAAGAAATGTCAATGCGGTCATGCAAAATTTCACTGCACACAACAACAACACCTAGAGACCATAATCTAAACTGTCCTAGAGACCGTATACACTTGACTTCCGTGTTTCATTAGTATCGTCATCTTCACCCGTCAGTGTATACACACTTGGGTCGTCGTGCTGTGGCGCAGTACTAGAAGTCATGTGCATGTCACCTCTTGTAATCTCAGCAATATTAAATGACGTATGATCATCCTCCGTCATTGTGAGTCGATACACACTTGGGTCGTGGTGTGGAGCAGTGTCGGTCGTGTTGTGATCCTCGGCCGAAACTGCGGCAGCGGTATTGCTGTCTGTCAGTGTGAGTCGATAGACGCTAGCACTGTGCTGCGGACCACTAGAAACACCGGGTTGCTCATCTATGGTAGCAGCAGAAGCATCACTCGTCAACGATAGCCGATACACACTAGGACTGTGTTCAGGAGCATGAGAAGCTGCGGCGACGTCGGCTGTTCTTTCCACGGCGCCAACTGAGTCAACATCTTCGGTAGTTGTAAGACGATACGTACTGTGCACCGCTCTCTGATGCAAAACATCGTGGTCACCATTCTTTTCACCTTGTTCATGATCACTAACATCTTCTGTCAAATTGAGCCGATAGACGCTGGGGCTGTGCTCCGGAGCACTAGAAGAAGAAGCGGCGCCTGCGGCTGCCACAGCAGTATCATCTTCCGTAGTTGTGAGCCGATAAGTACTTGGCGCAGCTCTGGCGGTGGTATCGCCTGCGGCCATTGCTCCCGGCACTGGAGGGCCCTCAAAAACTCCTTTTGTTGCCGCCGGAGAGCCTGTTGCGCCTTGTCCCGTCGGCACCTCGGGTTTCGCCTGGACGACGGGCTCCACTGCTTCTGCTCCCGGCACTGGAGGGCCCTTAAAAAACCCTGTTGTTGGCGGCGAAGAGCCTGTTGCGCCTTTTCCCACCGGCACCTCTGGTTTCGCCTGGACGACGGGCTCCACTGCTTCTGCTCCCGGCACTGGAGGGCCCTTAAAAAACCCTGTTGTTGGCGGCGAAGAGCCTGTTGCGCCTTTTCCCACCGGCACCTCTGGTTTCGCCTGGACGACGAGCTCCACTGCTTCTGCTCCCGGCACTGGAGGGCCCTTAAAAAACCCTTTTCTTGGCGGCAGAGAACCTCTTGCGTCTTTTCCCACCGGCACCTCTGGTTTCGCCTGGACGACGAGCTCCACTGCTTCTGCTCCCGGCACTGGAGGGGCCTTAAAAAACCCTTTTGTTGGCGGCAGAGAACCTGTTGCGTCTTTTCCTGCCGGCACCTCGGGTTTCTCCTGGACGACGGGCTCCACTGCTTCTGCTCCCGGCACTGGAGGGCCCTTAAAAAACCCTTTTGTTGCCGCCGGAGAGCCTGTTGCGCTTTTTCCCACCGACACCTCTGGTTTTGCCTGGACGACGGGCTCCACTGCTTCTGCTCCCGGCACTGGAGGGCCCTTAAAAAACCCTTTTGTTGGCGGCAGAGAACCTTTTGCGTCTTTTCCCACCGGCACCTCTGGTTTCGCCTGGACGACGGGCTCCACTGCTTCTGCTCCCGGCACTGGGGGGCCCTTAAAAAACCCTCTTGCTAGCGGCAGAGAACCTTTTGCGTCTTTTCCCACCGGCACCTCTGGTTTCGCCTGGACGACGGGCTCCACTGCTTCTGCTCCCGGCACTGGAGGGCCCTTAAAAAACCCTCTTGTTAGCGGCAGAGAACCTTTTGCGTCTTTTCCCACCGGCACCTCTGGTTTCGCCTGGACGACGGGCTCCACTGCTTCTGCTCCCGGCACTGGAGGACCCTTAAAAAACCCTTTCGTTGGCGGCAGAGAACCTGCTGCGTCTTTTCCCGCCAACACCTCAGGTTTCGCCTGGACGACTTTTCCATCACCAGGCACGGGTGGAAGCTTTCCTTTTGTTTTTCCAGTGCTTTTGCCTGCTGTAGTAGTTGTTTCAGACAAGAGATCAGCATGAGCTACGGTCACATCTTTTACAATGCTCGAGCCTACGTCTACATCTCCTGCTGCGGTCGCCTTACTGTCCTCTCCGCGAATCGTCTTGGGTTGTGACTGATTCAACGCTGCGTCAGAGTCCTTCTCGGATCCTGCAGTATGCTGTACAGTCTCCGTGTGACCAAAGGTGACCGTTTTCTTACTAGTGCGCGTCGGGCTTTTACGCTCTTCCTCTTGCAGGTGTTCTGCAGCCACGTCAGCAGCAGCCAATGCAGTAGTTTCACGTTCCTCATCGATGCTAGAGGAAACACTAGTTCTAGTTGATCGTCTTTTCTTCTTGGAAGTCCTAGTCCTAGTCTCCTCTACGGCCTCAGTTGTAGAAGGTGCAGGCGTTACTACTTCACCCTTTCCCTTGTCATGATCATCCTGCTCCGCGGCAACAGCATCCTTCGGCTTCGACACGTCCTCGTGATGCTCGACAGCAGCATCCTCTTCATGGTGTTCAGCAGCATGATCTTCATGATGCTCGTCTCCACCATACCACCAATGGCCGTGATCTTCGTAATAATGCCCTCGGTGGTGGTCTTCATGCCCTTCGTGGTGGTCTTCATGCCCTTCGTGTGTTTCAGGGTCTACTGGATCGGGATGATTCATAATTTCTTCATCTAAATCCGCAAGCCTTTTTTTGGCCCTCGAACGTCGAATCTCTGGTGGCAAGGAGATCCGTGAAGTTCGATCCCTTTTGAGACCATCTACCAAGTCTGGTCCCGCGACAACTTTTGGAACCAGTGCTCGCTCAACAGAAGAGGAAAGCTCATCAACACTTGACGTGGCTCCCTTGGAAAATAACCGCTCATGATCTGGTGCCATCGAAATTTCTGTGCTAGTTTTAGAGGCAGTGGCGGTGCCTGCTCCTCCTGCAGTAGATCCGTTTTTAGCATTATCGTCTCTAGCAGGATCTCTTGCCCTATCTTCATCATCTGCTTGTTTACTTTGCTGCTCGCTTGCTGAAGGAGAAGGTTCCACGTCTGCCTCCTTCCGAGCGTTCGCAAGTAATTCGTCTTCCAGCGCGAGAGCTGCTGCCTCAGCCTCTAAGATCTCGGTTGTTTCCTCTATGGATCCTGGTCGAGGTCCCCGCTTATGATGGCTTTTGCGACTCTCTCTAATGCTCTGTCTCATTGAGGAAGCTCTCTCCACTGCCGTTCCTCGACTACTACGCCTCTCTTCCTCCCCTATCAATTCGTGCTCTGTAAGCCTTGAGTCTCCTCCAAGTCTGCTTGTGACCAAAGGGTCATCTCCACGATGAAGGTCAGTAACTCTACTGTCTTTGATATTCTCTGTCTCCAGGCTAGCAGACCGCTTGGTGCCCACCACCCTGCTTCCTCCCGAACCGTGTGCACGCCGCCGAATGTGCACAGTGGACAGGTTCCTCACATGGGCTACGATCCCCGTCACGTCGACTTCTACCATATCGGCTACAACAGGGTCTTCCTCTTCAATCACATCAGAGGAATCTTCATCAGTCGAATCTTCATCGCTCTCACTCGTAGAAGACCTACTTTTAGCACTCTGATTACTCATCGTGCCTGCCTCTGGCCGCTTTCCATCCGCTTTTGAAGCACCTTCAGAAGGATGATCGGTTCCGCTCATATGTTGACTAGAATGACGTTCTATTCGCGATGCCTCTGCTCGTGCCTTACGTCTAGAGCGTGCTTTCTGAAAATTGATCACATATTCCAAGTCACTATCTTCCTCGTCACTATAGAGAAATAACTCTTCGAACGTCTTGGTCGCATGCGGGACATATGCCGGACTACGGCCATCACTAGGCGCACCCGCGTCAACACCAAAGCCGTGGTGGTCCGACGCACTGGAAGCACCAAGTTCGTCGACCCCATGTTCGCGTAGACGACCTGCTGTAGTGCGGCTGTCATGCCGCGTGGTCGTCCCGTGCCGCATGGTTCCTGCCCTTCTGCTTGAGCCACGCAATGACGAATCTCGAAAATAGGTACTACCACGATGGACCACCTGAATTTCATCTTCAGTTATCTCATCATCACTGCTGTGGTCCTCATGCGTCCTCTTTCGCGTTTTATGTTTTCTAGGAGTAGCAAACGCTAATGCCGTAGTGCCACTCTCGGCTCTGCTCTGCGCCGATGAAACGTGCGACATTTTATCAGCCTGCTGGACCATCGTTCTGCCCTCTGACAAGATGTGCGATCCCGCACCACCTGGCCCTGCAACATGCTCCTTTTTATACTTGTCTAGTAATGTTGTAACGGGATGTTGAGGACCTTCGGATGTTCTGAATTCATCCAGATCAAGCCCTACCATGTGTGTCTCAGTTTGGCGGTCTTTCTCAGATCGGCCACTCGCTTTGCTTACCCCAGAAACCTTACTGAAGGCGCTAGCTTTACTTACGCTGCTAGCCTTGCTCACGCTGCTCACTTTGCTCATGCTGCTCGTTTTACTCGATTGAGAATCTAACTCGTCATCTGCCTTGCCAGCGCTAAAGGTGCTGATCTTCACTCTAACCTTGCTACCCTTTGCCCTTCTCGAAGCTTTTCCATCCAGTTTTCTTGCGGATCTCCTCTCCGCCTTAGCAGTCCTAAAAATATCGGGAATTTTCACTTTCATCCGCTTTTTAGTCGCCCCTGGCGCCGCTTCCGCCACAGCAGTCGTGGTTCCCTCCTTCTCCTCTTGCCCTTCGTGTGCCTTGGCCTCAAACTTTTTAGCCAAATCCGCTACGTGGTGGCTCGCTTTGGGGGGCGGGGACTTGCTCCGCTGTGCTGTTTCTGGTTGCCGCGATGATTGCCGAGATTTGCGTTTCAACTCAAACCGGATCGTAGGCCGCTCCGCGCCATCGTCTATTTCTATCGCGGTTTCTCGCAGCTTCGTTGAATCCCTGGAAAGAAATTCTGACTCCCTCAGTTGCTCAGAAGCCCTTTCCGCTTGTTGTCCGACGGCTGTAGAATCCCGATCACTTGTTGCAGCACTAGGACTTTTTGCTTTTGTAGAAGAAACTTTGTCTTTGTCGCCAAGTTTCATGTCCTTCTCCTTCATTTGTGAACCTTTACGTTGGGCAGCTTCGCCATCAGATATCGCAGGATGTCCCGAATCTTGCGAGGATTTCGACGGCTTCTTAGAATGATCTTGCGATGATTTATTTGACGGCTTCTTCGATGAATCTTGAAGCGGGACTTCCTGGATCTTATCCCTGCTTTCCTGTGGACCACTTTGAGCAGGACCAGTAGTTTTTCTCTCCTCAGGATGTACTTCGTCCTCCTCCTTCTTGTCCTGTAGTGCCTCTAAAGCCTCTGTCCGTCGTTGTAGGGCCTCCTGCAATATAGGACGGTCTCTCAATACTGCCAGTCCTTCAGCAACGCGTGCGGCGAACGCCAGCATCGCTCCCAGGGGCACACCTAGAACTGGTAGTGCCACCAACGAGCCGATCAAGTAAACAAGGACTTCGTCGTTCGAAGTGTCTATGGTGCTCCCATGAGCCGCTTGAGCGCGCCACAAAGCAATGGCAAGCCAGGTCAAGTAAGCTCCAACGAGTCCGGCACCTGCGGGACGGCCAGCGGACGCCGCTGCAAAATAGCGACGCGCAAGGACTTTCGTGTGGTTCACAGCTACGGTCGGCGAAAGAGCAGGGACCAAAGCAGAAGACGTCGGAATTCGAGGTACTGCGGCTTCTCCTGTATCAGTGACTCTACTTGGATCAGTGACTCTTTCGTCTTTGTCTTTGACACCCGTGACCACCGCAGCATTGTCTCCCATTTTCGTCGCTAGACCTTTAGTGCTCTCTGCAGAAGTAGTTGTTCTAGACCATCGCAGCAGCACTAAAGAGAACAACAAACATGCCAGAAACGTTGCAAGAATGCTTACAAAGGCCTCCCGCATGTTCTTCTCGGAAATCTTGTGAGCGTACCCTCCGTTCGAAAGTAAGCTGTGCAATGTGAAGGTCTCAGCGAAACTGCGATCGGCATCTTCTGCATCCCAAAGAGTACCCGCTAGCCAGGGCCCGCCAAGGCCTAAATATACGATCCAACTCCAGGGTGTCATAGTCATTTCCATCATAGGACCATGAGAGGCTGTGCTTTCCCTGCCCTTTTCGGTTGATGTCGGTTCACCCTTGGTATCTGCTGAGGCCACGATATCCAAAGCAAAATCGTCTTCGAGACTCTTTTCTCCTTCCCCAGCATTTGTTCCACGAATTCCATCGTCTCTATGATCCATGTGAAGTAGACTCTTTTCTCCACCATCTACTCCTGTACCATAATCAGGCTTTCCTCCTAGTTCTGGCAAGGCCAACCCTACCCCACACAGCACTACTCCGACAAAGATCTCTGAAATAGCACCTTCCTGTAGAAGGAGCAAATTCTCGACTACTTCGTGATAGAGCAACAGAAGCGCAAACTGAGCGCCGCCAGCTAAGAGTACTGAGCAAATGGGGTGCGGCATCATCCCTACTGGTGGCATCAGGACCGCGGCAGCGATTTTCAACGGCATTAAGGCCAGATGTATCCCTCTGTCAATCGCATCCGGCATATTCTTCTTGTTCGCCTTGTTGGACGATGCGTCCTTGTTCTTTGAGTCCGATGCGTCCTTGTTCCCGTCTACCGCTGTTGGATGTATCCCCTGTTCACCATCGTGGAGATGTTGGAGTATATCCGCATCATGAGGAGACTTTAGTGCCTCACTCAACGACAGACCACCTGGAAAAAAGCTTTCGCGGATCTGCCGAATCCACAGGCTCTTTGAGCAACACGATAAGTCGCCATTATTCATCTCTCCTTGCCGACGTGTCAGTATGCTCGCAGTTCGTTGCGGCAGCTCGTAACGTGCCAGCACACGAAGGCCGTGGGATCTACGTGCGAAAATGCTCCTGGAATTCGCCATAGCGAATGTGTCTTTCGCTTTGGGTGACCCTGGAGACATGACCAAATCATTTACATTTTGTAGTTCAGCTGCACCTACAAGACTAGATGCGATTGAGTGCTCGTCGTCACTCCTTGTACGAAGTGGACGACTCTCAGCCGCTTTATTGTCCTCGTCTCGCGCAGCATGATCAGGCAAACGACTGTGGTTCCCTGAAGGCAATAACACCCAGCACATCGCGCAGTCTATCACAAACAAAGATAGCCCGACTGCGGCCATGAGTTGGCTTGGTCCCCCGCCTGAAGGCACGAATACAACCAGCATCCAAGCAACCGCAGCCACCGTGAAAACCAAAGTCTGTTGTTGCTGACGCACGCTTTCCCGCTCGTGCAAATGCTCGGCATTTTCAGCAGAGCGAGCGTTCTCCACAGCGACGTCTCGATCAAGTTCATGCTTGGTGGACGCCTTGTCGCCATCAGCATCACCACCTTCAGGTACTAGGCCATTCGCATTCTCCTTCTTGTTTCTACTCGCAGCGCCGTCGATCAATTCCAAAAAATGCGCCGTTGAGATCTCGAAGAAGCTCCGATGCAAACGGGCCCATCCACGAGCAAACAAGAGCGCGAAGGCGGTTGCCCCGACTACTGCACTTGCGGACAGCCATGATGCATTGCCTTTCCGCGCGATCAATTCCGCAGTAGGAAACAAAGATGCTGGAGTCAGCAACAGAGCCACCAGGAGACTTTGAGATAGGGGCCCAAGCCTGTGACACACAAAGGACCACTTTGAGAGCGCCTCTGCTTGACGCTGAACGACGAGAAGCAGCGAGCCAGCCAGATAGACCAAGAGCAAGACATTTAAAGCGCTACTTTCTTTTAACGCCATGGTTCTGGTCGTCAACAAGGATGCATTAGCATGGTGAAGCGTTCTGTAAGGTTATAGGAGATCTTGTAGACAGTCTACAAGATTGAGAGTCTGACTCTCAATCGTTCATTAGTAAAACATTCAACTTACTCACGAGGACACACCACCTAAAGTAAAGGTGTCCACTACACTTCATCGAGCCTATCTTTTTTGTAAGCATCATGGGGAAAGTATTCATAGGAAAATATTTATTAACTCAAACAAAGAACTCATTTTGGGGGTTGCGCAAAAACCTGAAACTCCGCTGTGATGTGGAAGTAAAGAGGAATGTAAAAAGTAACTCGAACTTGCCTCACTTTCATCAATGACAGAGGAATCCATAGTACACTTTCAATCTTTACACAATTAACCTCTCTTTAACAGAACCTCTGAACCGAAAACTCGCTCACGCTCACTACAAGAAGCAGCTATATTTATGTCTCTGTCATCTTCTGACGCTCTAGGTTCATTCATAACGTATGAAGATGCTGTACGGCCTCTCTCAGTCGCTCTCAGTAACCGAAATAACAGGAAAAATATGAGAAAGATTATTGGTACACAGTTTTTTCACTCGTGTTTTTTCCAATCTCAAGGAACCGAAATCTTTTGTTCGCATCCTCTTTCTAGAAACCATTCTCCTCTCTCAGTCGACCGAACATCGTTCCATAACCGTCCATAGTCAAGCAATTTCACAGTAGAGCTCGCTCGACGACAAAACTCGTTATATTAATTTGTTGTACATTTATTAACATCTATTTCCAATATTTCCAATCAGTTTTCGCAATACATTTGAGGATAATCAAAGGTTAGTTTCATTTCTATGCAGATAGTGCGTACCAAAAGCGTGATGGAGGTGTACATGTACATCTACATATCAATGCTTAGAAGCAGACGTAATTGCTATACAGAAACCGATCCGTAGCCCAAAACAACCTATGAAATACAGCATACGAGCTCCTGTTCGCAAACCAGATACGGAAAAAACTCCTCATACTGCTACTTAACTCATTCCTCCCTCACAAGTACAGCAGCGTCCAACTCATTCCTCCTTAAGTACCGCAGCCATTCCAGCTGCACCAGCTTTGTTGATATGATCGATGGACGCGACAATCTCCCGCGTCTGATCACTCAAGCGATGAAACTGGCGCGCGAACTCGTTCTGCAACAGCTGACTCTTCCTGATATTCTCGTGTGCTTGGTGGCACAAATGTCCGATGCATTCTTGTGCGGCTTGAGCCTGCAGTGAGGTGTATAAGAACCGTAAAAAAAGTTAAGTCGTGTGGACTAAAAATGGGACCACCCTCATAAGATCCTGATGACATCTTCCAGCAAGACAAGAAATAAAAAGAAAAGTGTATCGACGAAAAGAAAAAGTACCTTCTCGAACTCGCGGTTTAGGTTTAGCACCGTCTCGGTGAGCTTTTCGCTTGTTGTAGTGGTCGACATCTTCGAGTTCTCGTCTAGTCGCGAAGAAGGGTGTGAATTTCACTGCTCTTTATCAGCTTGCTTCTATGATTTGTATGGTGCTGATGCTACGTGATGATAGGTATGAACCCTTAATGTAGAAGAACTCTTATCCTCTAATACACGTGAAAGTGACAAGAATCCATCAGAAGATGCATGAAGCTTTGAATCCTCGTCAATCTCACGGTCACAACCGACGTCCTCAATTTGATCCTACCGAAGACGAGACCGACACCGAGCATTTAAGTACACAATCGACGATCCACGTACTTCGACCCGCTTTTTCTGCCTGGACCGACCATTGCAGGGAGGTTCGAAGATCCTTGTGTCCGATCACGCGAGTCAGTATGCAGACCATTATAGATCTTGCTGATCAACTCAAGACAGTCCGATACGCGGGCTATCTCCGACACTTGTCCCAGAACAAACAATTCATGCCCAAGAAAGAACTGTAGTTGAGCCGTTTCGACGACGTCATAAGTAGTACATGATCACACATATTGTTACCTGTTTTTAGATACAGTGCGTAGAATTCTCAACAAAATATCATGGTACAAACGAATATTTTCATCCTCTACAACCCCTGTCGCGATATCGTTCTACCCGTCAAATGCGAGCTTCGCGACTTAACATCGCTTTGAATCAATTGTGACTTTGCGTTTTTAACAAGAGACTTTGCGTTTTTACGGTAAAAATTTAAACATCGGTGCTTTCGGAGGTGTTTTGTGATTACTGAAATAGTCAACGTCCATAGGCTTATTTCTTTGTTTCTAGTCAAATTAGTCAATGCTAAAACATCAGAACCCATTTCTAGTTCTCCTCATCTAGTGTCCTTCCTCCAGTCACCAAATCAGCATTCTGAGACTGCCTTCTCCACGACCTTCTCCGCCGACGCTTTGCTGTGTATCGCCCTCAATTTCGGAGTCATTAGCAATCTATTTACTTATAAAGTTTTGCCTTGGTTTTCTTTTCTTATTTTTGATTTTGATTTTTCTTTTTTAATTTTGATTTTTCTTTTTTGATTTTGATTTCTCTTTTTTGATTTTGATTTTTCTTTTTTGATTTTGAGTTCTCTTTTTGAATTTTGAATTTACATTTTGAATTTTGATTTTTCTTTATATATTTTGAATTTACATTTTGAATTTTGAATTTACATTTTGAATTTTGAATTTACATTTTGAGTTTACGTTTTGAGTTCGGCGCTTACGTTTTGGGCCCTAACCTTCGAAGTTAGGACATGAATTCTGAAAGTTAGGACATGAATTTTGAAAGTTAGGGCATGAATTTTGAAAGTTAGGACATGAATTTTGAAAGTTAGGACATGAATTTTGAAAGTTAGGACATGAATTTTGAAAGTT